TCGGTGCGCTGCTCGTTTTCGCTGAGCACCGTTATTACGGAAAATCGATGCCTTACGGCCGTGATTCTCTCAAAGACGTCAGCTACTACGGATATCTGACCGTGGACCAAGCTCTCGCCGACTTCGCGCACGTGATCTCAGAAATCAAGGAGACCTGGCCGGGTGTTCAGAAGAGCAAAGTCGTCGCTTTCGGAGGTTCCTACGCCGGGATGTTGGCGGCTTGGCTTCGTATGAAGTATCCTTGGCTGGTTGAGGCTGCGCTCTCTTCAGGAGCCCCGATCCGCCTTTATCAGGGTCTAGTGGGGTGCAACGCCTTCAACGATGGGGTTGCTAGAGCTTTCCTCGCTGAGGGCGGCAAAAAGTGTGTGAACAACATACGCAAATCGTGGAAAGCTCTCGAGAGATTCAAGGAAAGCGAGGAGGGGACTAATTTCATCTTCAAGAAGTTCCATGTCTGCCAGAAGAATATCGCATCGGGCTTCGCACAAGTCAGGGACTGGATATACGGATCGTACGTCAATCTCGCCATGCACAACTATCCCTATGGACTGGAAACGCGGAGATTGTCCACTTATCCGATCCGTTTGGCCTGCGCTTTTCTTCAGAAAGACTTCCAGAAAGATGAGGATCTCCTCTCGGCGATCTACGACGCCGTTAACGTCTACCACAATCACAGCGGAGTCGTGCACTGCAACAACGTCGACGATGTGTACGGCGAACACATCGGGAGTGCCTGGCAGGTCCAGAATTGCAATGAGCTCGTCCTACCCTATTGTGCCAATGGAAAGAGCGATATCAGTTATCCGTTTTCGTGGAAACTCGATGGCATCAAGGCATACTGCAAGAGGCGCTACGGCATGACACCGAACCCCTCTCGGGTGCGCACAATGTTTGCTGGAGATAAGATTTCGGTAGCATCGAATATTGTTTTCTCAAATGGGGATCTGGATCCCTGGTCTTCAGGTGGCATCCTCAAGAGCCTCGGACCAACACTGCCCGCCATTATAGTTCGTGGAGGGGCTCATCATTACGATCTGAAAGGGGATCATCCGGACGATACGGAGGAAGTGAGAAAAGCGCGGAATACTGCCAAGAATTATATTAAGACATGGCTAGCTTGAACCTGAGCTTGTCGAATGGGTTCGTAGATTCTACCAAGGATGAATTTCAAGTCGACGAGAGCGTAATCTCTGATAGCGCCACTGCAATGTCTCTGTAGAGGTGATGTGTGGAGCCGCTCGGTCGCTGCTGGCTTAGATGGTACAGGCAGAAGAATTCGGAAGTATTTCCTATTCTCAGTGACCAGCTGGCTACGCGAATCGAATCGATGGATTTCGGCGTTTCTCTGATTTCCAACGAGTACCTGAGCATATTCCACGTGGAGAGTCCCTGTGGCCGATTGAGAATGAACTACCGATACCGCGCACCCTTCATTGTCTATCCGATATCACGGAGGTTGCTACTGAGATTCTCCTCTTTCGTGATTTCTTCTCAATGGATGTAGACACTCTATCATTCTCGACATTCCGGGATATTCTGTATGCGATCAACCTCGGCCGAGTCTATTGGTCTGATTTTTCTACTCAGCGTGTCAGAGTTTGCGATAGTTTTGTATATTCTGTAGAAATTGGAATTCTTGAATAAAACTCATTGGTCAACCTATGCATCCAGCGGCCGAGCCTGGAGCAGAACGCAGCCGGTCCACAAAATGGATTCCTCCGATTCGACTTTGACTTTTCTGTAGATTCAGCTTGATTTTTATCGTTGTTGGTCCTTGATGCAGGATGCTTGACCGACTCTGTCGCATTTCGAAGACTCGGAGCTTATGAGAAGATGCATGGACCACACGTCAACCCCAAAGTAATGAAGCTCCGAACTAGAATGGGTGCAAGCGCACGAACGAGGATGAATCCGAAATCGGCGAGAAATCGGTCGCCGCAACGAATCTCGAGCACGGTGGCAGCGCTGCGCGGTCGACGACCGTTTTCCTGAAGCTCCAACGGCGGAACGAAATCAATTGGCACTCTTTTCCTCCAGAGCTGTGAAGACTGCCTAGATATCCTGGTGTTATGGCGCGGTATCCTTACTGCATACAAATACTCCTCGGAGTCGACTCTCCTCCTCGGCAGCTGGAGTCCCTCTCCCCGACGCCTCCTTCCGATGCGCAGGCCAGTCAAGCCGTTGTTGAGGGTGGCTCATAGAACCTGGCCTACGGAAAATATTGCCGCGGAGGTGTCGTTTTGCGGCGACGGATTTACGCCCCGTGTGGAATGAACTCTCTCGTTGACGGAGACTGCGACTTCACACCATGGTGAGCGGATCGAGAAGTTCTCCCAGATCGGAGGATGCCTAACGGGATCGCCTCACAGAGCACCGACTGGGAGAGAGAGTGTATGTCTGTGTGCATGTATGTGAGAGGGAGCCCAAGTTCGAATCTGCTGCGACTCGGTCCCTGTCTGAACGCTGTGGGACGTGGGTTACTCGTTTGCGAGGTACGCCCGATGGCTCATACCGGCAGCTCGTCGTGACAGTGTTTCCATTGTGGAAGTCGATCTTGAAGGCTGATGGCTGAACACGACAACTCTCCTCTGAAAGAGGACTCGGCTGTGTCAGCGCTCCCGCTCCGTTTCGCCGCTGCTCCAGCGGTCCATCGCGATCGGCCGCTATCCTCGATAAACTTGTTCGTGATCTTTCCATGAACTCAATGAAACTCTGATAGGTCGTATGTCGTATTATTACGTGACAACTGGGACGAGGAGTATTCTCGCCACGGGAAGGCCTGGGCGAAGGACACGATGGTTATCAGAACACACTACGTGGGTTCGGAACGAGACCCTCGGGCGATTCCGAGAGCAGGGATGAGGGAGGAAGATGTGATTATTTCCGGAACCGCAGCAGTCCTGCGTCAACCTAATCAGCCGAACCTGACTGGTGCGCTTCTTGTTCTCTTTGCAGTATGCGAGTTGATACGCAAGCCAAAAATCGGGATGCTGTGAGGGTACGAAACGCTCTTATCGAAGCCGATGCCGACTTCTTAACGAGGTGAGCAATGACTTAGGAACGAATTCCGGTTGGAAGTTCAGTCATGTACGTTAGGAGTATCGAGGAATTTGGAGAACGTTCCTTATTTGCTCGCATCGATCGGAGGCGCTCCGCATCGGCCATTCGGTTTCGGTTCACTCGATTGACCTACGCAAGAAGTCGCATTACCGTGACTCGACCTCGATGGCCGTATCATTCTCCAATTATTTCTCTTGAAAACCTGTTTCGTTCTTTGCCAGCTACGGCGTATTTAGGTTTGGTAAGTTTTGTTCCGATGATAGCCTTATTTCTAGTTGCTTGCGATCAGGAGTCAACCAGAACACTCTGTGGTCCTCGGCTTGGAGTCGAATGCTTACTAGCGTCTCGGGTGGACAGCTTCAGTAGGGATTCCCGTAGAAGTATTTCTTCAGCGTCGACGATCAGCTGAAACCTTGCTCGATACGCTTCCAGGGGACGCAAAAACATCCCAGCCACCGAAAATTCCAATTCCTCATCAAAGAGAAATGAAGGTGATTCAAGCAAGAGACGGATCAAGAAGAGGTGAGAAGTGCGAGAAAAAATAGAAACATCGATGTGATAAAGAAGAAGACTTCTCGACTCTTGATTTCACGGATATCGGTGAACGAGAAGATTACAATCGATTCGTTCGCGCAATAATTTAGCCAATGTCCGTTCGCAGCAGGAAAAGCTCCCGCCGATCCCGCAGCTGCTCCGCAGACTCCTCGTCCTCCGACAGTGAGAGTGAATGCTCAGATCACAGGTACGTGCTCACGATTTGCATCGATGCGGTTCGGAGATTACCGAAAGATTTAGCTCTGAGCTGCCGAATTTCATTTCGGACCGGGAGGGGAGGGAGACGGGGGCGATCGCTCTGGGCGTACCAGACATCTATGGCCCGCAGTCGTGTCCTAGTCGTGGACAATAAACCGACTCCGATGAATATTTTCCAGCACTGACCGCGGCGCTCGACGAAAGTCGCATCGCCACAAGAAGAAAAAGAAAGAGAAGCGAAAGGTACGTGAACTCACCGAGTCAACAGGAACCTTTGCTCGGCATCTATTGTGTATCCAGGAGTGCATGTCAGTGTTCCAAGATATTTGACGAAGATTCCGGAGTCTGCTCCATTGAGCGATGCGAATCGGACTTAATAGAGTCACTGACGAGGAGATAGATGGGGTGATTGCGTCCGAGCAAGCCCTCCATGTCTAATGAGTGTCCGATGCCCCTCGTGGCGGATTCTCAAGGAAAGCAATTACCCCATCACTCACGAGATCTTCCTTGCTCGAGAACTGGTCCCTGAAGATTCCGACCTGCTTCAACGTGGGCTCCCAATACCGGAACGGAATCGAGAGCTGGTGGAGCGCACTTCTTTTTTAAATCTAATGTAGGATGCACATTTTTGTTGTCACCGAGCCGCGCTCTCCCTGCCAGGGCTTTCGAGATCCGCTTGTCGCATGTTCCGGAATCGGACTTCCCGATCGAGACCTCTGGTGGCGCCTTCTTAGCATATAAAATGAGAAGTCATGACCGGATCGATCCAATCATTCGAAGAAACGGAGAGCCTAGCGACCCGTGCCATAGTCTGTTCTATGATATTTACGACAAGCGTCAATCGCGATTCGGGTCGTCCCGAGAAGTTTTCCCACGATTACGAGCGTGTCTCGCTGTAAATCGCGTGTAAATTGTACTCTGTCAATGGTAGACCGATTCTTACTCCCCTAGCCTCTTCTTACGACTTGAACTTCATCATTATACAATTGGACTAATGGTCTTATCAAATCTTAGAATGCCTTAGGATCTCTGTGATGATTGGTAAAATGCAGTAAGTAACCCTCTCACAGGGACACTTCGCAATTTTGCACTTTTTGCTCGTACCATAACAACATCCAGAACGGAAACGAAAACTCGAAACAATAAGCTCCGTGAAGCAAGTTGATCGCCAGCATCGGAAACACGATTCAAATTTTAAAAAACAGTAACCGAAACACACGCTCCGACCTGTCCGTCTGTGGTCGGGCACAGATATGATACCGACGAAGTTTCCGAACGATTCTTCCTTCGATTCAGGACAAGAAACGGTCGAGAGACTCCCGAGACGACAGCGCTGAGGCGGATAAGAAGCGACCGAAGCGTGAGAAGCACAAGAAGAAGAAGGGTGAGTCAGAATTTTGAATCATAACAGCTTCCATGCCCAAAACTCATTCGCATCGAGCGTTCGGGACCCCGAAAGCCTATCGTCTGACGTCTAACCTCTTCTTTGAACTCCGCAGATAATCCGTCGAGAAAGTCCCGTCGCGATCTTCCGAAAAATTCCGAGAAGAACATCCAGAAATCGAAGTTGTCCTTCAGTCCTTACGCTGACGAAGAAGATGACCTGAAAGGTCGCGTTGTGGAGAAAAGCCCCGGGACGCAGCTTTGTCTGAAACTACCTACGAAGAAACTCAACGGTCCCGTCTGGTTTGCCGGGAGCTCGGATGATGAAAATTCGTCGAACACCACGAGAGACAGTCACAGCTTTAACGGAAAGGATCGCAATGGAAACTCGATGATTCCGCTGAAGCACTCGTCCAAACCGAACGGACTGATCGACAGCTCATCGAAAGACAGCAGCACCGAGCCCGGAATCACGCGGAGCTCATCAGCTAAGCACAATTCTGAGGAATCGACTCGTAAGAGGAGCTCCTGCAGCAACGATCAAACGTCTCCTCCCCCCGCGAAAGATACTCCGGCGAAACGAAAATCGAGCTCATCTCCCGACTGTGTGAAAATTCGGAAACTCTTGGCCAGCAGGAGAACGCCGCCCCAGGAGAACCCGACTACGAACGGGAAGCTCGCGACTGCGACGAACGGGTCCTCTAATCATTCCGTCGGTGCCCTGCCGAGAAAAGACAGCGCCTCTCAGGAAAATGATTTGAGCAAATGGGAGAAGGGAGACGACCTCCCTGTGGCTTACAGGAGCAGATCCGTCAGTCGGTCGGGGAGCAGCAGTCGGTCTAGGAGTAGGTCCACGTCGAGGAGATCTCGTTCTACTTCAAGGAGGTCGGATTCGCGCCGGAGATCTTCGTCGAGGTCGACATATTCGTCTCGCTCTCGATCAAACAGCTCCTCGAGTCGATCAGAGTGAGTAATACATGGTTGAGTGTGTTTCGCACGCTCGACATATCCCCGGCCGTTCGGCTGTTTGTCAATACAGAGCACCGTCGGGGAGAGGAGCCTAATAAACTTATTATTCCACCAGTCGCAGTCGATCGTACAGCAGATCGCAGTCGAGGCACAGGAGCCTCTCAATTCCGAGGAGATCAGGATCTCCGAGTTTCCTCGACAAGCGTCGTATCACCAGGTAGGATATGGACTCATTTCGACTCCACGTCGCCGGTCGCGAGAAAAGAGCGCCTGTGCATATCGGTTCATATTCTATATTGACGTTCATATTCTGGTTGGCTTCAATGTTTCGTTTATTTCCCTTATTTCATTCTTATAATTTGAGTTTGCATGGCTCGCTCGTTCACAGGGCTCCGGATGGGCCCTCATGGAGAAGGAGACGTAGAGCCAGAAACCGCAGCTCAAGTCGTTCGATGCTGTCGTCGTCCAGGTCAAGGAGCGGGAGTACTTCATGGTCGGGACGCAGGAGAAGATCTCGAAGCAGTCGCTCGTGGAGCAGCTCGTATTCGGGATCCTAGTCGGGCTTATATCGATCTGCTATGAGGAATTCACTCCTTTGCTCCCCGGAAAGCTGATCTTACCTTGGGATACTCTGTTTTCGAATCTTGGAAGAGAAAATGGTTCTCGATCCCACGTCTGAGGGAGGCCGAGAGCCTTGAGCGTCGCTGTCTGTCATGAATTATTTTTGTGAGAAACATTCCTGATGATCTCCAGTGCAAGAAATCCGCATGGTGTCGATAGAACGAGTCGGTTGATTGCACGGAATATCTATATTCAACATTTATGGAGGGCGTCCAGGAGCAATTGCGACTCGCTTTCTGCCTGAATGCAACGTTATTCACGACGTAATTCCTGTGCTGCTAATTCTGCTTAGAAAGTGGTAGGAATCATTCCCACGATGGTTTTGTTATTAGTTCGTTGAGTTTGAGCAGCGCTGGGATGCCCTACGGGACTGCTCCCCTCTGTTTTTGAGTATCGGTGAGTTTCCGTTTGCTTCCCATGAAATCTCATTTCCGTTCCTCGATCCCCAATCTCATTCTGAAGGCCATGCCCGAAGAGCCTGCTCCCCTGGATTCCGAATATGTCATACTTCCGAGGATATCCTTGAAAAGCTGTTTTCTCTAATCGAATTTCCAGCGCTCGGAAACGGCCCGTACCCTACGATCGCTACCGCAATCGATCATCGTCCTCGGGATCATCCGGCGATGATGCCAGAAGCTAGTCATTGATTCAAGAGAAAATCCAATTCCATAGAATCGTCGATGCCACGGACTATTGGGATCACATCATCGTCGGGAAAAGAGATACAGATGTTGGCTGTCGACGATTATATGAGAGCAAACTAGGAAACAAGCCACGGCTTTTTTTGTAAATACATACCAAGTCTGAAGTGAGCGGAGCTTCCTGCGCCTGCGATCATTATCAGACTAGACTATAAGTATAATTACGCGCACCTTGCAAGCCTAAGATTGTTTTGGTTCATATCTGTGTATATTCCCTCGAGAGGAGCAGGAGCACCTGTCTCTTGTGCTTCTCCGGGAAGGAATCAGAAATCCTCATTTCTCCGCGGCAGTCTAAATTTCCGGCTTTCGCTCTACGATGAGAGGCCGTCCCAATCCTCGACATAAACTATTGCGATTAGATGAACCGAATCGAATAAAGATCAGAATGTCCCTCAGATCCCGATTTGTGAATGTTTATTCGCTAGTTTATTTATACAGAAGATATATTGTCGATTAGCGCGAAGGCTAAGCTTAATTCAAGGTGTATACCGTTCGTTGGATCGCATGCACAAGCGTGGATCTCACTCATTAGGATTTGTGAAGAGTCCTTTGTCCCTGACCAGAATCGTTCAAAATCCCTTCAAAATCGATCAATCAATCAAGTAATAAAAATAGAGAACATTAGCAGCGCAGTCATCAAAAAGAGGCGTTGCGGATCAAATGCACTTATCGGCTAGGAATCTACCCGCTCGTGCACGAAACAAAAATTGCAGTCACATATGAGGTCTCTCGAACGAATTCTAATAATTTTGTTACAACAAATGGGATAATCACAATGAAAACTGCCGGCACTCCTAGCTCAAACAATGTCTGATGCGGCTCACGTTGTGGCATAATATTGAGTTCTTTAGGAAGCATCTAAACCCTTATAAAGTATAACTAAAATACGCATCCGGCTCCACAAGACCGAATTCCATTGAAATCGCTGAAAACTCGAGCACGGGCTCCCAGCAGGGGAATCGTCGTGTTCTAAGTCAATCACGACCCGTCGATGCTGCGCTTAGCTCAGCCAGTTGATAGGAAGTGCCTCGCATGCGAACGAGCTGCTCACAGGGTAATTGCCATACCTCCGGCCGTCTCTTCTTGGAAGTCAGGACCGGAATTCCGGCTTGCTCCGATCGATAGGTCTCAACTGAATTGCCATTCTGCTGCTGCATTCGAACCAATAGCTGCTTCAGATCGCCGTAAACTCCGTCCTGAGCCGGGCGCCAGAGGGTACCCAAATCTTTCGGTCGTGTGTCCTCATAATCAAGAGCCTGGATTGGACTCTGTTTCACTTGCTCCGATTTTTTCTCCTGTCTCGGCAGCCGTTGAACGGCTCGCTTGTCAACGATCACATCATGTTTCAGATCAAGGACTGACGATTCCTGTTGCAATCGCTCCCCGGAGTCTCTGGCGAGCATAACGGACCGTGCTCTGTTCGTCGGATCATCGAGCGCCTCCTCTTTCGCCGGACTTTCCTCCGAAAAGACATCGGATCCTTCCGAGCCCGGAGATTCCTCTCCATCGGAAAGCTGAATCCTACGCGATCGGTTCTGCTCGACTCGTTGACGAGCCTGCGGCTCCACCCGACTCGGCTTAGCCGGCTTCTGCCGAAGGTCTGTCGGTTTCGACTGAGCTTCTAAGCGTCTCCGTGAGATCTGCCGATCTGGATGCGGCGGATCGACCCGGACTATTTGACTAGTTTGCGACCGTGCTTGAAGATCTCGTGCCAGCTGCTCAAAAACAGTTGTGGTCCCTGATACGGAGCTGGCGCCACTGATTTCCGTTGATCCTCCGGCTGAATGACGTCGATTCCGGCTTGCGATCGTTTCACGATTCCAGTGTGTTTGAGGTCCTCGTCTTGAGGGCGATAGCCGCCAAGATTTCGCAGGAGGCGTTGCAGTGCCGATTCTCCTGACTCTCCCTTGGGAGATTTTACAGAGTCCTCGAGTTCGCTCTTCAGATCGTTTCCCTTCGATTGAACGCCACAGAAATTAGGCCGCTGAGCCTCCGCGAGACTCCACACTTTCGGAGCGTTGACGATGGACCCGATAGTTGGACTTTCGCGATGGCTCTTCTCTGAAATGTGTTGCCGATAAGCCTCCTGCAGACGCTGGAGATGGAGCTTCTGAGAAGCTTGTTGTCGAAGCTGCTCTTGCATCTGGTGAGATTGGAGGAGTTTTGCTTGCTGATTGAGCTCAGCCGATCGCGTAGATCCGCGATGAGTTGGTGGGTAGAATTTCTCCGCAGGCTGTTGTCGCTCGAAGGCTTGTTCGTTAACTGGGCCCCGTAGAGGAACATCTACGTAAAGCGACGCTGGTTGCGTCGATTCATCGAGCTGCTTCGCCTTCGGAGGATTCCCCTGTTGTTTAACTTGCTGTCGCCCTAATTGCATGCGTGGCTTCGCATGGCGCAGCTGCTGAACTCGCAAATGTTGCGGAGGTAGACTCTTATCATGAGTTTTCTTGATCGATTCACACAGCTGCAGGAATCTCCTCGAAACTTCACGACGGAACTCGTTTGGAATTCTCTCGTCCGCAATCGACTCAGCGATCATTTCATGGAATTTGTAGTCCAGTAGAATGGTGTACGCGAACTCCGGGAACTTCTTGCACACAAAAAGTGCAATCCTGACGAGCATCGTCAAAATCACAAGACGGGCTTCGGGTCTCACCATGATGTAGTCATTGTTCCCTCGGGTGTACTCGAATTGAAAAGCACAGAAGCCTCCGAGTTTCGAAACGATCTCGAGAAGATGCCGCATGCTGGAGAGTTCGACGAGAACCTCATACGCCCATTCACGGATGCAATGCACATGAGTAACACGCATGAGTTCCATCAGATCAAACCAGAGTGTCATCACAGCGGCTGAATGCGCTTCCGTCGCGAATTGAAGCGACCACAGGATCTTCTTGAAAATTCCCTTCGCCTCCGCAGAATTACAGAGCGAGTGTCTGTTCCAGATGATGAACTCCCGGACCGAGGCGAGGAACAGGTTCCCCAGCTTGTCCGAAACATTTTTTTGTGAAGAGTCTTTCGCGACCATTTTGCGGCGTCTCGTGAACACTTCGACCGCGAATGACTCTACAACAGCAGCGAGAGCAGGGCTCGATTTGACGTGCACGTGTTCCGAAACGCCACGCGCCACAGCCGGCGGAAGTCCTCGAATTTCTCCGGAGAAGGCTCTCGCGGACCAACTTGATCGTGCACGGATCGGTCGCGATACTGCGGAAAAGAGCGTGAATCGCGATGCTTAGACGAAATCTCAGGAGCAGATCTTTCTGTAACGGGGCTTTGTTGCTCAAATAAAAGAGATCGTCGATGTCGAGGAGCTGAGCACTGCTCGTGCTGCTGCTGCGTCTCTTGCAACGCTTGAGAGCAGAACGGAGCGCTCTCTCCGGTGAACCCTCGCACGCATGCGGAGAGAATGAGGCGTCGCGGATTCCCGACTAATTGATATGTATGCTCGCGACTGAGGGTTTGGCGGACAATATTCTTCTTTCAGCGCATCTTGGCTTGCTTCAACTCCCTCCCTTGCTATATCCATTAACCCTGCTGATCTGATAGAAGTCTGCGGGTCGGCTCCAATCGTCGGCGAGAGTCCGGAAGCCAGTCCGCTGTACTTCGCGTCTGCCGAAATTCAATCTGAGCTCGCTTCGAGAAGTCATGGTGGATCAATATGTCGGCTAGAGAATCGAGCTCATCGTAAGCGGCTGAACGGCTTTGGAGAGCCCAGCCTCTCGCGAAATTCGTATAGGGGTCGGTCGCATCGACGATTACGTCTCGAGGATTTCGCTGGTGTCCGCGTAATCAGGCGTGGCTGTCGTTAGCGTGCCATGTCTCAGGTACAATGACAGAAACCGGATGGAAGATCACTCTTTCTACACTCGGAATACAAAATCGAGCTAGTCTTCCTCGCTCCGGTCGGATGAGAATCGAAGTAAATATTCGGTGCGTTCTCGAACGGGAAAATCCACATGCGAAGCACGTGGCTGCGAAATTCATATGACGTGGCGTCCTTCGTCAGTACACTCATATTTCATTCAGAGCGACTGTTGTTAAAAATAGAGATCCGAAGCGAAATAAACAATCGCCGAACGAGAAATGCTCGCCCCAGCGTAGGTCTTTAAGTTTCAATGGAAGAGATCCGAGAGAAGAACAGCAGTTTCCATTCGTCGTTGATTGGCCTCTCCGACTGGCGGGCAGGGTCTCCGATCCTTTCTCGGCGTCGCTCTTTTTTCCATGGAGATCGCTGAGCTGGATCCACGCTCTGGTCGCCAGTCCTCAGAGCTCTCTATATTTAAGCCGAGAGCCGTGATAACCGGACGGGATCACCAAAGCTGAAAGTATTTGGTCGTGGCAGGAGAGTTTCCGAGAGCTTGATGCCATGGTCGACCATGGCGAGCGTGTCGGCATCAGATGAGTTCCAGTGTTGTGGGATTTGCCGCTCAATTGGATCGCTGTACGGGAGTGTCTGGAAATAACTCGCCGACATGGTTTCCGGAGAGCGGGGGGAACCCACCCTGCTCGTTATCCGGTGAGTGATCAATACGTACGAGATTCGAGATTAATTCACCCGAGATACGAGATCAATACAAACGTAGATCCAAAGAATCTCCTCTGAGATCTGATCTCGATCGGTATGATTGATCGTCACGTTCTGCCCAAACCCGGCTCGCTGTGAAGAAGCTTTCCATTGCCAAAAACTAGTTCGAACGGTGCTTAAAGAAAACGGGACCAGTCGCGTAGAGTGTCTCCCGAGGTTATCATCTCGAGAGCCTCGCTCTCTGCCAGAGTCACTTCGATCCTTGTGACCTCAGCAGAGACGCGAGCATCGAGGGCGATTCGGTCCCCACGATTCGAGGATTTCGTCTCTACGTGATCGAGGGTCGAGCAACCCGGGCGAGTGATGGCTCTCGAGAACATGAAGAATCTCTCCTCCGAGAGACTCGCCGCTGCGCGTAGCGGAGCGCCCTCGCTATGATGTTATGTGGCTCTCTCCTAGCGTCGGATGCGCATCTGAAATTGATTTCTATATTCTCGGTCAAATGAATTGAGACGAAAAGTTGGATCGGCCGATATTGGGGTTTCGCTGAATCCAATATGGGCCTATATCATATTGAGCTCGGCGAATATAGGATCGCCCCATATTGGATTCTCGACGATGCATTGCCAATCGTTTCATAACGAGAGGTCTGTTCCGATCGTCGGTCTGGCTCGAGATTCGCGACTCCAAAGCGGGTCTCCGCCGCGCTATTACCCAACTCGCTATTACCCAACAAGTGATGGATCGAATGAGAACTTGATACATCTCAATCTCATTCTAGTTGGAGGATACGGAGGTTATCTTCGCGGATTCACGGGCACATCCGCCTATTGTCGCTTCTGTGACCTCGCGCCCTCGTGGAGCTCATTCAGAGGGAGTCGTTGGAGGGAAGTTCTTTTGAAGTCCCAGGGCCGAAAGTAGCGGACTTCGAGAACGTATGGGACTGTGCGTAGCTTCCTCCGCATGGGACTATGTCTTGAAGGTGCGGGAGCTCATCCCAAATTTCACGGAATCGACCGCGACACAGTTCGTGTAGATGATCCTTGAAACGCTCTACCGGGTGAGCCGGGATCAGTCGCAGCATGAATCCCATGCGATTCCGGTTTTTGTGAGCCGCAACAATCGATATAGTCACCCGATGGTGTCACCGTGGGTGTCGAGCTCGCAATTTGAATACCGCATCGATGATCCAAATTGTCCTCTACATATCCGATGGAGAGGATGCGGGAGAGAATAAGATGAAAATCGGATCGAATCCCAAGGGCTGAAGCCGCGCTCCCGGTGCGGAAATCAGCGAGAGAAAAAATAATACCGCTCTCCGACTCCGCAGACCACCATGAACTTCGTCTACTTCATACCATTGCCGATGAGAGAGACTTCTGCATTTTGAGGCATCCATCTCTCTCCACGATTGAGTCACTGTGCGGAGGGAATCTCCTGCCGGGGAAGCACCCGCGAGCTGTGCCGGCTGTGCGGGTGCCTGTTCTCAGGTGATTGTTCTTATTTGAGAAGGCCCTGGTCTCCCTCTCCAGTAGGCCCATATCGACGACGATGCGATAGTCGACTATCAGTCGATTGGTCTAGAGTCTAGAGTCTGGAAGAGCAACACTCCGCCGTCAAGGGTATAGGCGTTGCTCGTAGAACTCGAGTGGCTCGGGAACCGACACTGAGTGAGAGTGACGAAGGAACGACCCACCGTTCAGCTGACTGACAGGCCCCGGTTACCAAAGCATTGAATCCGGCACTGAGCTCGTTCGCCTCTTTTCGACCGGAGAGTCACAACGCACTGTGACCAAAACACGCATTCTCTTGCCACCGCCAAAGCCGCAGCAACGACGGTGGCGGCCACGCCGACGACCGTTCATTGTCAACAAAGAGCGCGGCGTTCACGCGCCGCCAGAACTGGTGTTTCTGACTGGATCTGGTTTGAGTGGTCGAGCAAGCTCCACGCGAGAGAGAAGGCGCTTATCTATTATTTCATCCCATCCTCCCCCGGCCGCGAGAAATTCCACGTTCGTTCGTGCGCTATGCAGTCATTGACAGCTCGACCATAGGCTTCGATCGCGTTTGCGTGGGATCTTCTGTGGCGGCTCTTCCACGCTCGACCAAGGTCCCTGAAGTACGAATCGCATGAACAGCTTCCACTTTCGTGCGCAGTCAGCATCCCGTCGCCACCTGAATCGGTCGCTGATTTGGTTCTATTCATCGCAACACAGGCCTGAGACTACGGCGTGCGCTCTTCCAAAGCTCAGAGTGCTTAGCAGCTCCGGAGTCAACGCAACGTTTCGACGACGCCGACGTCACCCGTGCTGGCTAAAAGACAGCGGATCGCTCGTTTGTTCAGTCGTCTGTTCGTTCGTCCGTTTTTCCGTCCGGAAATACGACGATAATGCCTGCCGTCAGTGCCAGCGATGGCTGTTGCTGCGTGCAAGTGTGCGAGTGCTTCATGAGCGCCATCGAGTACTTTCTCCACGGAGCCACGGAATGCCTAAGTGCTCTCTGTTTCTTCTGCTGCATGGTGGCGCGGGAGGCGTAGACACACTAGTAAGTTGATCTCACTCAGCTGTGACCATGACAACCTCGACTGCTGCCATTGATGAAGGGAACGACGATGACGGCGACGATGATGGCGACGTAGAAGTTTCCACCGACCGACGTTCGTCTTCAACGAAGCCCGGTAAACCAAATCTAGAAGGGAAGAGGCGGCTACCACGGCAATGCTCACAGCAGCGGCCAAAGCAGAAGAGAGAACGGTGGAAAGGGAGGGCCCATGTGGAGCCAATGGGCGAAGGGTCACTATCCACCCAGCTGCACAGTTTGCAAACGTTGCTTTGCTGCTTCAGAAGATCGCTGTTACGTAGCCAACGCCTCGGTCGCTGTCACCTGATATTTCCCAAACGTTTGTTTATGCGACCGCTTTCTTCGACGGAGGAAATGAGAATCTGCCTTGTAGTGCCACCCTTAAAGCTGTGTTAAACAACGAAATGTCGAGTGAACTTAGTGTCGAGAATGACTGAGTGACTGACTGACTTACTGGCCGGCTGGCCTCGAGTGAAACTTCTACGAATGAACTGACCACACCGCCTTCGTGATGTCTTACAGAAACATTGAAGGAGTGCTGCACGTGAACCCGGATCTGTTCGTCGATGAGAACTTCAAACCTGGACTCCGGAAACGGCATCGAAGCAATATGGGAGTTTGTCTCCGATGCTGTTTGACACTTTCGGTAGGTTGTTCGGAGCACCGCAAGCTCAATGTCGAATTAAATTCAAGCGGTGCTATGATTGTCATTCGTTACGGAAAGCAGTGTTTCATGCAGCGTGAAGTCGTCCGATCCCTATTATAATTTAACAGGTGTTCGCTGCTGTTATCATCTGGGTTATTGCTGACGAAAACTTTGAATGAATCCTTCTCAAGCCTTGTTACGATGAGCGCTCCGAATTCGGAACTGCCGGAAAACGCCCTGCGGAACTTTTGTGTTTATCGCTGATTTATAAGCCATAAGGTCTGGTCAGGGCGCCTCCCCCGTCTGTGAGATTTGAGCGGATCCACGAGATGGAATCAGCAATGTTAACTTTCGTAATGAGCTCGGAAGAGCTCGGACGAGGAGTTCAGCGAACTTGAGAGAAGCCAGAAAAATAATTCCAGAAGAGCAAGCTCACCGAAACTTGTGAAACTCTAAATTGTCGGGAACCGAGTGAACCAAAATAGAGCGAGAGCAATATAAAGCGAGCCGAAACAAAATTTTCCAGAGGGCTGCCAGAGCCCTGGAGCCACCCAGTTTTTTTTGTGCACCGGGCTGGAGGAAACGCATGGAGCGATCAAATCGGGTTGCTCGGCTCTGTTCTGCATTAGCACCGTGTTTTCGAAAATTATTCAGAGCATTTCACGGCATGGGACCGAAAGCGTTCGCGGAAGAATTGTACGCTGAGTTGACCCCACGTAGACACGACCACCGCTCAGTGGATATGGGAAAAAATCAAATTGCCTGCTCAGTGTCGAATTTGATGGTGAAGCTCACGTATTGTGCTCACCGGCTGTGATTGTCTCTCCGTCCGGGCGCCACGTCATATCCTGCTCGATATGGTAGATCATGAGATGATTAGATTGATAAGCTGAGAGTCCAGAATCTCTGAAGTGTTTGCCTTCCCTCTAAAGTGAAGCTGAACGTGGTCTCCACCGATATCCGTCGAAAAAGTTCTTATCGTCAACGACGAGCCGACTCATTTCAATCGAACACGGTTCCCCTCACAGCCTCGCTCGCTTCCGGAATTCCATAGCTCTCTATTTGTGACTCCGGTGCGGGGTTCGTGCAACAAGTCGCGACATATAACTTTGCGATCTGGTCCGTCTCGCCCCGAAGCCACGACATCGTAAATCCCACGAGACGGGGCGGATATGAGCTCGGATATGAACAGCGCACGCCAGGAGGCAATCATTCCCTTTGCAGGCGTGACGTAATATCAAGCGAGTCGACTCCACAAAAACAGGAGCGGACGACAATTCGTACAGCTTTTTCTCTCCGCTCCTCCTCCGAAGCGGCGCTTCGAATCGACCACGACCGACCTTGGGCGGGACACCTCACATTCTAAACACATTATCGAACGGTGTCCCTGACCTTGCTTTCCGTTTTCTTTCCCCTGCGGAAATCAATACCGACCCCTTACTGGCTTGCGGACTAGCATGAAGGCTTGTTTTGCGGAACTGAATCGTAGCCTCATTCGTTCGAAAGCCACTCGATTGTCTTTGTGAGACGTGACGGCTCGAAATATAGAACGTTCGGTTGGGTACCTGGTGCTGGTTCGGCGGTCGTCGTGGAAACGAGGTCACTCGGTTGAATTTTATGGAATCTTCGTCACCCGCCTCCGGACTCTTCCGATCACAGTCATTTTTCACTAGTCAAATCCGCGCTTCCATCATGACCCTGACATTAAACTGACGCCAGCAAAAGCACCGGCTTTTGGAAAGTTGGTACTCCGTTATTTGAGTCCGTTGATTCAGCTCAGAGCGTTCTATCGACCTGGAGAGCCACGTTTCAATGGAGACGAAAAACAAACTCATTCGGGATGAAGTCAGTCACACTCGAGTTGTCGATCTTCGGCGTCTTTGTGCGTGCTCTGGCGATCCATCATTGGGAGCGTCTCACAAAGATACCGCGCTTCCCCCATTCCCCCGACAGGTTCGCGTTCCACGGGTACCATGTTGGGCCTTCCGGGGGAGAGTGATCTCTGCAATATCTACAGGAATGTCTGGGCCAGGACCAGGTCCCCGCAGCAGCGGGGGTTTTCCCGGTCCGGCTAAACATTCAATGTACAAGTCCCAGTCGCGCGCAGTGTGTGCGTGTGTATCGCTCAGATCCTCGCAGCTCATGAGTAGCCCCGGAGTCTATTCTCTGCAGCTGATGCAGCTGCTTAGAGCACCAAGACTGACCGCGGAGTGTTTTGAGGGACGGTGAGGCCCCTGAGCGCATCTCGGCAACACCCGAACAAGATCGCGAGTAAAGTGGGTCACCAAAGAAAAGAGAGAGCATTCGTGAAGGTCGAGTTGAAGGCATCGATGAGCGAGTTCACTAATTCCATCAAGCGATCGATAAGTCATTCCGAAGGGTCTGGCTCACATCGCTTTGAATGCGACTGCCAGCGGAACCTCGTCCACCGACTACAGTATCCCGGTAGTCTTGGGTGGAGTCGCTTGACGCAACACGGACCTACAGGCTATGCGAGGCGATCTTTGTCACTTCGCAGGTTAATAATTGTCCATCTGTTCGCTGATTATCGCCAACGTTTTGGAATACGAGACGTATCTAAAAGGATAAGACTCAATTCGGAGTTTCGGGATCTTCCGCGAATGTTTTCTGGAAGCTTCCGAACAATTGAATATCCATTGGACATATTCCTCTTGCCAATGATGTTTGGCTTCCGCGCGCAGACTGCGTAGAAACTTTTCTATCTTTCGCAAAGTGCGCGGCACCCATACGACGTATCAGTTCAAGCGGGTATTCATTGCTCACTCCGCGTACAGCCACCGTCTACTTCCCGGTCGTCGACTGATCAAACACTCGGCTCGTTCGCGGTAAGCGTCGGCTTATTAAAGATAGTAGTAGATGAGAGCCACTCGATTTTGATACCGTGCCACACATCTTTTCGTCGCCCTGAGCGGCGACCGAAAGTTCGTTCCTCCGGCGGATCAATCGACTGACCGCAATATGATCCGAGGATTGATCGACGCCGCCCGATCGGCTTTATGGAAATTATCATTCGAACCCGACGACCATTTCCACAAATCTGTATCCCGCTGGATTTGGCTGCCCGAGACGTGCCCCACAGGGAATTTCGGAAAGATTTCGTCGTCCCTCTTCCTCCGCGAGCAGAGCCCAATCCATTTGCCGAATGAGACGACGACTCAAACAAAGCGGTCACAAGGAAAGTCTCGTATGACAAACTGTGTTCACTCTAAGGTTCCTCCTGGTATCTCCTCCCCAGCGACTCATATCGCTCGCTCCGTGCGACCATCCATCTACTTGGACAATTTATTCCAATATAAATTCCCTGTCCAGTGTGACCTTGAGTTTCTCCTCGTCTTCCTCTGATCGGCTGAGCTCCTAACAGTGAGCACCTCTGATCGCGCACCGTCGATGCCGCGGATATGTTGCGGAAAACTCTCGGGTCGAAGTAGTATTCAGCAGTCCTTTTTCTGACGCGGACGGACACGTCCGATTACTCGACTGCCGCTGCAATCGGAAGCCGCCTCAATGCGATGAGCAACGAGTTCGCCAGCTTCTACGCTCTCGAACAAATGACTCAGTCAACGAAAAGCCGCTCACTCCGACGCGGCCGTCTTTGAAATTCAGCCAAGACGAGACGGTCGATGATAGTGGAGAAATTTTCTCGCTCAATTGCGGCTTCGAGTCTACGGATACATAGTTCGACGAGAGATCGGCGGGAAATTCTGCTGCATTCGATGTCTTCGAATAAGGAGCGGTCAGGAAACGAAGGCGAATCGAATCCCCCTATCGTCCTCGAATGTGGGTTAAGATCGTCTCTGGCTGCGGTCAAGAGGCCGCCAATCCGCCTGTGCCCGGAAGAAAAATTGCATCGCATCGATAAGCCGGACTTTCGCTCCGCGATTTCGGTGGGACGGAGCTTGAGCTCAAGGCAAAGTTTCCTAAGATTCGATGCTTTGACGAGTGGTGCTTCGTGACCTGAGATGGCGGGAAGGCTAACGACCGCATTCTCAATCTCGACCGAGACGAGTCCGGGCAAACGGAATCCATGCATGGGAACGTCTACGGTGGATTCAAAGAATCTCTTCTCTCATGTGCCATTACCTCGATCCAGCGTAGTTTTCGCGCTGTAGGCTTGGCGCATGAAAGGCCATATCTGTTGACCGGGTCTGTCGGAAAGCTGCCAGAAAGTCAACACTTGACGGATGAGCCCGTGCCCTGAATTTCCTGGAACTCTCAGCCGAGAATCAGCGAGCACAACCGTCCTTGTACAAGATATCTCATTATTGGGATGTCTGTCGATGGCGAAATTTCGTTCGCCGAATCTTCGACATGGAACCATGCTGCCAGCCGGTCAACAGGTCTTTACTTGAATGCTCCCCGCGCATATTCTCGCAGACTGAGGACGGCGAGTCGGCAGGATCTACATATTATTATCCTTGTTCTTCATCGGGAAATCTTTGGCTATACCGTTCATAACGTGGACCGGCTGGTTGTATGGATGTCAGTCCATAATCGCGGAACCTGTGCGAGCAGAGGCGATCAGCCAGTGCAAGAGCCTATTGTTCTGTCGATTCCGCCGCGAAGTTTGCGTTCATATCGAATCCTAAAACAATACGTGCTCTTGCAATTTCTTTCCTCGTAAACCGGAATTGAGATCTTCCCCGAACATCTGACAGGGGCATAGTGCTCGAGATAGGGGAATTGATTTAGAACTCGAAGATTGATCGCGCTGCCACACTATCGTTGGAATAGGTTACTCTCCGACAGCTGAGCGGATCATTACGATGCTCCTAAAAAATTGATGTCGACAATGCAACTAAAGAAAGGAGGCCGCCCGCTCGGCGTGATCGAGACACCGGTCTCCCCGAACTCGACTCGGAAAATCGCAAAGAAACAAAACAAAACTCCGCACCCGGTGGGACTTGAACCCACAATCTCCAGCTCCGGAGGCTGGCGCCTTATCCATTAGGCCACGGGAGCGCTCGTCAGCGCTGTAGAAATTCTTGATTTCATCATCAGTATCTCACGCCCAACTATACACCTCCACTGGTTCGGCTTAATGACGTGAATTCAGAGATCAATTGATGCAGATGTCTAATTTACAGCGTTTCTGGCGTAGTGCAGCGACGAGACTCCTACCTCCGAGCCACCGATTTTTTTCCGGATGCGTCTCGAATGTTACGCGAGGAGGTCGACGCGGGGAACGAATGACAGATCCATTTCCCAGACACGCATTGGCAAAACTGCCTCGACTTAGGTCATCATCTCGCTTCTCTCTTCTCCCTGGCGCCGCTGGTAGCGTAGCCGTCGACTGTTTTGGAAAGAAGGACGAGAACGAAGCCGCCTGACGAGCCTTGGAATTTCGCTAGGCATTCTCCGCCTCCGATTCGCTGTCAGCTGTCGATCCTAGAGTATCGTAAGATGTGATACTGAGCTCCATACCCTCCGACATTCGCCGAGAGCTTCTTCCATCAGCTTCCGGAAAGGATGGAATTGACCCGGAGGAAGAGGAGGACAAGGCGGTCCACCGTCACTAACAGCCGAAGCGAAATAGCTCCAGAAACACAGACGACCGATGGCGGAGCTGATGGATACTGCGCAGTGGGTGTTTGACGTTTTCCTCTTCCTTTCAAGAGCTGGGTTTTAGACTTGAGACCGTCGACCATCGCCAGTCTCGTGTCCTTGCTCCTCTAGTTCAGCTCGCGAGGATGAAAGTCCGCCTTTTCGTGTCGGTTCCAGGCACACTGAATCTCCATCAGGATAAGATTGGTGATTGTGCATATCAAAGGGCGCTTTCCAATTCGAAATCTGCCGGGAACTCCGATAGATTCCCGGCTGTCCTTCAACACGTAGATCTCCGATCACGGGGTATTCCAGGAGCGGGCTGTAATTCACGGTGCAACAACCACTACTTGACTGTTCTATCGATCGCACTTCTGACTGAATTCAGAACCGGAATCAACCTCCGTCTACTGAAGATATCGTTCTCGCGAGTAATGGATGAAGAAATTAAGTCGCCTGGCTTAATGAAGGATATACATTTCAGGCGATAACGCTTCTCTTGATCGGCGGCACCTTTATATACCTGTATCTTCGGGAGCGTCATTTGGGTTGCTATGACCCGGTGAACGGCAGAGTGTGTTACAGTGATCTGCCTGAAGGGGATCGATACAAATGGGGTGGTACGAAAACCGATTATAACGTCACCATTCAAGAGCATCTGGATGAGAGCGTCCAGCCGTTAGACATCCCGGGTGAGTCTCCAATCGTTTATTGAGCTCTTCCTCGTAGGATGGTGATTTTTGAAGAGGCTGGTCGACTGGACAGAACTCGGATCGTGAATTTTCCGCTTAACTTCTCATGATCCTCTTCTTCTAGAGCTGTCACTCTCGATTAATTAGCTCGGTGGTTTCGCAGGGTGCCAGCCGGTCCTCTTCTTCTTATTCCAACGCCATACGACGCGCTATCCTGACCGAGAAGACATAGAAGAAGCGAGCATCAGGCTGAAGAAACTCGCGGAGGATATCGTGTCTAGGGAAAAGAGCCGTCTCTGTAAGCAAGATCTGCAGGAATTCTCGAACTGGGTTTTCCCATTCGTACCCGATCAGGATAACCTGGTGGCGCCTCAGGGGAACTTGATAGTCGCAGAACAAGGTGATTTAGCGATCCTCTCCAATGTTTGAGGTCACGAAGGGGGGGTTTTGATGAACCGAGAGAGTTTATACGCATGTCTCGGAATTTTCAGTCGCTCGTCTGAAGAAACGGTTTCCGTCCATCTTCTCGGTGGAGAGACCATTTCAATCCTCGTCGATCTCCGTCGATTTCACGAGCAGGGTCAGGAGTCGAGAAACTGGCTATGCATTCCTGAAACAATGGTTCACAGAAGGCGTCTTCAACAGTGTGATCGAGAGACAAATCAGGGACAACGTCAACGACGACCTGCTGCACTTCCACAGAGAGTGCGCCGCCAAGCTCAAGGTAAGTTCGAAGCGGACTAGCTTTGCTTGATCTCATATTTCGTCGGTGCGGGCTCTACCCTGTGCTCTATTGCTAGGCGAGGCTCAATATTCGCTGGATCTCTCTGCTAGTTCCCAGTCTCTTCTCTGTAGTCTTAGCTGCTCTTCGGCTACACCATGCGCGCTTACATTCCGCGCATATGGTGGGGCCTCCGTCAGACGACAGCGTCCATCAAACACAGCGGAACGAATCGCCCGACTGACTAGCGAACCTGTAACATCGACAGAGACCAAGCGTGCAAAACTTCAATCCTCAATCTCGCATATTCCTCTCGAGGCTCTCGGAGATCGCTCATGTCTGTTTGATGGATTCTCGGGGCGTTCGATGTTTTTGAATCATGATCACCAAAGTCTTCTCAATGAGGCTGTCCCCCTCTCACGCGACAGGGACTCGAATGAGGGCGATTCGAGGAGAACTTTCCAGAGCCGATGGCGCCTCGGAAGTCTTGGAAATCTTTCCGTCTCCATACTTTGTTTTGTTTTCTCCCGGATCATAACTCGACGTGTTGATGGCAGATATCCAGGGGCTCCACGAGAAGGCGAGCTTTAAGGGCTAACATTTCTTTCTTCGCGCAGCAAAAAGGAAAATTGGTCAAAACCCCACCGGCGGTCACGAGTTTGGAAAACAGCTCCTATTACTCGAGCCTGCTGGAAACACTCAGCTCCCGTTTGGGTCGCCGAGTCTCAAAAGGTACGTCAGTGCACCGAGCGTAAATGCTCAACGCCGCTCCGAGAGCCTGGCCGAAGGTAGTCTCAAATTCCACCCGATCTCTCCCTGATGATCATCTTCTTCCATCAGACGATATGAAAGTCATGTATAGACAATGCATGTTCGAGATGTCCATCGTCGGCCGATCTCCGTGGTGTGCCGTCTTCACGACGGCCGATCTGAAATTGCTGGAGTTCCGAGAAGATCTCGACGATTATCATAAAGATGCGTACGGGAACGACATGAACTGGAAGCAGGCTTGCGGAGTAGCAGCGAACCTCTTCGAGTCGATCGAGTGAGTCAGGCCCCGAATGCTCCTGTATGACCGATGCGGATCGCCCGATCCGAGCAGAACGCTCGACTTCGCCGCTCATTTCCGGATCCTGGGTCCGCGCATCAATCGAGAACCTCATGATTGTATTCATTCAATTTCAGTGAGGTCGAATCACCGTCCTACGCATCGAATTACACGCGGACCGTTCTCCACTTCAGTCATGCGGGTGCGCTGAAGAAGGTCCTCGCCTACTTTGGGATCGGGAAAGGACCCGCAGTCAAATGGGATGAGGCCTGCGAACCCCGCGGCTGGCGCAGTTCGAAGTTCTGTCCTTTCAACGCAAATATTCTGTTTGTTTTGCACAGATGCCTTGGCACGCAGCCAAAAATGGTCACCCTGCTCAACGAAAAGCTAATCCTGCTCCCTGGGTGCTCATCGAAGTTCTGCCCCTTGGGCGAATTCCGCGCGTCGTTCCAGCGCGAGGACCTGAAATGTGAACTCGAAGAAATTTGCTCGTGACGAAGATCATCCGATAACCATATCTGATTTGTATCAGCAGCTCTACTGATTGGGGAGGCAGCTCTTGGCTATCACCTCATGATTCGGATGGGACAACCAAAATATTATTTTTGAAAATTGTTCCACGCTGATCCATGAAGAAATCGAGTTGGGAGTCGGAAAGTCGGAAATGTCGCGAAAGGACGGAAAGGCGTCGGCGTCAGGTCTCTCTGAGGGAAGGACGAATTGAAACGCTCTGAAAATGTTCGGGGAATATTCGATCAAAGTTGAAGCTTCGGTCGTGTGATCTAGTCTATCTTAGCGTCGACGAAGACTTGTACAAGTTTTAGGTAGCAACCCTTATATAGAGGATGAGCGCATAGCGATATAACGAAAACCTCTGATGTACAAAGAAAACGTGTTGAATAAACTGGCGTGAGGTTGGTTTCATGTTCGAATATACGGTTATATTTATTCACTCGGACGACATGAGCGGGCCATGCTAGGCGAGAAAACTCCAACGTAACACAAAACTCCGAATCCCAGCATCGGGTCATCTCCCGAGGCTGAGCATAATCTGACGTGGTCCTTCCACTTCTGATGTTTGACTCCATCTCCATATTTTACACATTTACAGAATTTTACAGGTAGGACGAAACTTGTCACCAATATTCTAAGCAAGGAATAAAACTTCACGCAGATTCCCATCCGGCAAGGCGTACGTCTCAAGCGGCGTCATCTTGCCGCGCTGTCTCTCACGACATAGAATTGTACGGTGTGTGACATAATTATTAATTTATGCTGGCAGTACTGAACAACCGGAGCCGAGTAACCCTGCTGAGAAGCTTCGTCTCACAGGACCGTTATCTCTCTGAGATCAACAGATTTGGGTTCATTGAAAGCACCATAACGGTTTTCTCGGTCGAGACCTCGAACCGCGAAGTAATACCGAAAACCGCGTTTGTACGAGCATAGAGTCACTGCCATCGGCAGCGGTAGAGCATTTATGGTGCCGATATTCCTCCAGAGATCGGTCGATGGCGGTTGCTCACCCTCCGTGTAAGTGAAGATCTGATATTTGTCCGCGGGCGAGTACCTCAAATTCGGCTGCAGTTTCATGTCCCACGTCACAACGATACCCCCGTCCGACCTGCAATAGAAGCAAGTATTCATGATTCTTCATGCTGCACCATTGTAAAACCGATATTTTCCTTTCGTAATCATGTGTGCTACATCATATCTATCAGATTATATTTCCGGCATTTCATCGAATATATGAAAAAAAAATACTCATGATAAACAGTGAATATACATATAGATATGATAAATCGATAATATTCGTAAGCAATGGTCATCACGCATGCATCTGCCTCGACTGGGGTCCGGGATGGGAAACGATTATTTACGATTGGTACTCGACACTTACGTAGTCACATCAACAATCGGAGCGGGCGGAGTGTGGAGTTCACCGATATCATACTTCGGCGGCTCAGGCAGAGGAGCCGGATGACGGGCACGCTGCATACTTGATCTCGGTTTCTGTGGGAACAATCTATGTTGACGTATTTTTCAAACATAAAATCGAGATCACTCATGATCAGTTTGGTCGGAAACCCCCAGAACTCCTGTAGAAACAGATCTGGCTCTCGCAAAAAGCCTTGACACCAGAACTCATCCCCGTAGTGACCCATGGTTTTTCTGGGACCGACAGTCCGCTTCGGTCAGAGAGCAGCCTCGAGAGGGGTAACTCCTCCTTGAGCCCACCGCCTATGAGCATCTTATTCTCGATGGGAAATCTCTACACAGAGACGCGACAATGCTACAAAGAAGCTACGTAGAGACGCGAAAATTGGCGTACCGTGCGCGGGAGGTGCGGTGATTGTTGTTCAATCGCAGGAGGTTGCTTTTGTGAAGCGAATGGCTGCTGTTGCAACGCAAAAGGTTGTTGTTGTGACGAAGATGGTAGTTGTCGTGACAGAGATTTCTGCGGCCGCCCCTGTGCCTCTCGAGTTTCCGTAGAGGAAGACACGACCGACGAAGCAACAATGTTTTTCGTCACCGGCTTGGCCACCGTGTCTGGAGGCAAACAGAAGGTCTCTCCATCTACTTTGATTTCATTCGGCGTTCGAGGCGGAGGCGCAGACGGACCGTTCTGCGTCCCCGTGAGCCCTTTGCGAATTTGACCCACGAAGATCGACCCAACGGGAATCGCTGTGGGTCTCGCAGACGCAGCGAGAACCGACGAATGGGGCTGAATGGAATTCGTAGTACTCGAGGAATTCGGAGTCGACGTGGATTTCGCCGCCGTGGATATCGGTTTGAAAATCGGTTTCGGAGACGTGAGATCCGATTTAGATGCTGGTACGGCAATGGTTTTCGTGACTTTGATGGCAGACGGCAACTTGGGGGGCTGTGTGGCACCCACTCTCGCGTAAGACACTGGAAACTTCGACGGGGCAGCGGATGGTTTCGGATCATTTTGTGGTCCCAGGCTTGTGTGAGATGTGGGAGCCTGTGGCGCGCGGACTATCGAAACTCCAGGCTGATCATCCGTGAGATCTATGCATGGCTCCTTCTGGAAGCAGAGAGCATGATACTGGGCAGCTCGAGTCTTGCGAGAATATTCGTGGATTCGAGGTTTCTGTGGCAGCTCACCTTATGAGTACTTCCAGGTGGTCTGCCCCTGCGTCGGGGTTGCGCAGGCGACTCGGAAACGACACCAGCTACGTTGTTAGAGCTGGTTGAAACAGAAGAATTCAGCGGGGACTCCGCTATTAACCTTGGTAGCGAATCGCCAAGGCTCGACATCTGAATACCGACGCTCCTGGTAGAGCCGGAGGGTTTGCAAGAATTCATCCGGCAGGCTAGATCCTCATATTTTTTCCGATGTCCTCCGCATCGACTGAGAGTTGCTTGAATATACTGTAAGCGAAGATTTATTTTTTGATCAATTCATCATGAATGAGCTGAAACTGGAACGGTGGAGGATCTTGGGAAATCATGTGTTGTGAACTCACTTGGTGAGCTGGGAATTCTGGGTTTCGAAGGCTTTCCTTAACTGATATATTGCCGCATTCAATAAGGCTTCCGTGAAACCCTTCAGGTAGCCTTCTTTGTTGTTGGCACCCGCCACAACGTCGGGATAGTTTATTGCAACGCCGTCATTCTGCAGATCACTTCTCCGAGGGCAAATTTTAATCTAAAAGAGAGAGAACTCGAGCTCAACCATAGATGGATAATTATCTATATGAGGATCCATGGTGATGCCCATCGAAACATTGACGCCGGGAACTTGTCTCATTCACTACTCACCCGAGCTTGCGACTTCTGCTCATCGTTCGTGCGCTTTCTTTGAGACTCCGATGTGGTATCATCATCGGAATCGACGGGATAGCTCCTCTTCGCAGATCTCGTTGGTGGAGGGATAGTCTCGATTGCAGTGCGTTCATTCCTGGATGAGTCTCCACATCCATTGACACTTAGTCGGCTCACCGGCGCAGCAGTGGAGCCCCGAGACTCGCCATTCGTCTCGGCATCGGACACAGGAGCATTCTTTGCCGAAATTGACCCGTTGATCGATGGGCCCGATTGTGTCTGATTCGGAACGTCGCTCGAATCGTCTCCCCCGGGGGAACTGATCACGATTGCCTCTGGCGCGTCGAGCTTCGCTCCCGACGAATTGTTTCTCCGAGATCCGCTTTCGGACTCTGTGCTAGATTCCCGGAGCACATTCGAATCTTTGAGCGAATGTAGGCGGGCCCCCAATTTATCGCTGAGGGATTTCTTCACCGACTTTTTCTTCGTTTTACAAATCAGACTATCACGAGAATCCGAGTTAGATGAATCAGGTCCGGACGTGTCTTTGCTACCGGAGTTCAGGCCATCTATCGGAGCCTGCACTGGCCGTATTTCATCGGCCTCGGCCGATGGAGTGACATCACAAGTCTGCGGAAGAAGGAGTTTAATCATCTCGCCGCCGGGATGACCAAGGTCGAGTCTTCTAACCATCAGGAAATGCTCTAATCTTGGTCTGAGAAACATGATACGCGCGGAGATACGAGCTCAGATCAAGGCTTCGAGACTACATGCGAGATGCAAGCTAACCGTATCGTTATCGTCCGAGACTGACGAGGTCTTGGAAGAAGTCGCACACCCGTTGCTGCCGAAGGAGGGGCTATACAGAACATTCTTGCTCGACGTGTTTTCTTTGTTCACGGGCAGGAATACCGACGGCTCAGCGAGCGGATGGAGTTTCTTGATTTTCTTCTCACCGGCTGGAAGCGATGAGACGAAGCACTGAATACCATGTAATATCAGAGCTGTTTCCGGATGCTACATGATTAGCTTTACGGAAGACCAAGCATCGCGGCAGATTAACTCACCTGGATGGAGATATGCGCTCGGCAAAAAATGCTTCCCGCACACATATTCGTTCTCAGCGGTGATATTCTCCTCCTCACGTCCCGAAAGTAGCAGCCATCTCAACCTCAGGGCTCCGCGAGGGTCTTCCGATTTGCCTCCGTCGGCGATATCCACACGCGGCAGTCTAAAATGTGAGCGAATGCCTCATGTTTCATGGATCCTATTTCATTTTCGAGAAGAATCAGAAGTATATAGATGGGACGCATCTATGCGCGAGCATTTCGAGATAAGGAGTCAAATAAGTCAGTCGATCCCTCGAGGATGATTCGCGAAACTAGGGTATAGTGAATGAGAAGGGCTGCTGCTCAAGCGGGTCAGCACGGGCAAGCGAATGTGGTTCTCACCGCACATCGTCCACCTTGTGTGATAAAGGAGAAATGGAGCGACGTGCGGAGAGGTACTCATAAACTCAATCTCCCCTACGCTTGCGGCATACGGACTCTCGATCTTCTTTGGATCTCAAGGGGTGGTCAGCTCGATTCCAAGATGCTACCACACGACACAGAGAATTTCTCGCGCTGGGGGCTCCCGAGCGAGGGGAACTCGGAGCTCTCAAGACTTGACTTAAAATCTCTCCAATCTCAAAACATGTCACCCGATAGGTGTCGATGTCCGAATCTAGAACGGAACCCATCCCCACGCGGCTTCTGAAGAGATTTGGTGCACGAAACCTGCACACCTACCTCATATCGACGGCGGACCTTCCTCAACATAGGGCACATTTGAGAGGGAATCGGACTCTGGTTACGTTCTAATGCGCTCACGACGCCTCAGAAATACGCATAGTTCTCGTACCATAAAAAACCGAAGGGAATCACAGGGGAAGAAGGATGAACAATGAAATCCCTAAGAGAAGTAAACGAAACTCTCGACCCCTGATTCTTGGGGAAAGCACCCCCTCTGTGTACTTTCTGATCATGATCATTGCCCAATGGAACGCTCCGGCCTGAGCAGAAGCCAGGCTCATCCACGGCATCGGATTCCCAAAATCCTGATGAGGTCATCTCTTCCCGAACAAGACAGTTTCGATCATGACCCCCCAAATGCTCACCTATGCATTCTGACGATTTTGCTGACATCATTCTTCCCCGTTCTCTGAGTCGAGCAGTTCAGCACACAGCACTTCTTAATTTTTACATCCAGAGCCATCTCCGAGCCGAACCCGAGATTCGGTTGTGGGAGATGACTTCTCTGAGGGCAAGTCCAACCAAGACCCTCGAGAACGCCTCTTCGATTCGGTCTAAGCGATTTACACCTTGCATCGGCTGTTCTACTCCATTTCAAGCCGCGAACGCTAGAGGGCGCCTAAGGATGTCGGGGAAATGACATACTTCCAACTTGAGAAGGGAAGCCTGCCCTCGGAATCCGACAACCAAATCATATTCAACACACTTTTCTCATCCTGTCACAGAGCACGCGAGCGAAATCCTCACCAGTTACGAAGGAACAACTGGAAACAATACAGAAATACGCCATTGTGGACGTGGCGAGAGAGATACCGCCAACAGTTATTGTGGTGGAGCTTTTCCTGACGAATGAATGCATTCCACCCAGAATGCGTGCGCCGCGCATGCGCGCAGCGACGTGCAGCAAATTACGCTCGCTTAATAATTCGATCTCGCAAAGAATTCGGGCTCCATGGGGTTCCTGATGCGGAGTGGAACCTACGATGCCCCATGTCCGTGTCCCCTCTGAACCAGTGTTTGGAGAAAAATCTCAATCAGATGCGACCTCGGTGCCTAAGCTCAGCGAGAGTACTTAGGTAGGCGAGGCTCGTAGGCAAGCGGATAGAGTACATCAGAATTGCATCACAATAGCCTCATCTGGTGGCTCAGCCCGTAAAAGTCATGTCTTGTATCCGGAATATTTTTGGTCACGGCCTGACTTCATTGATTTCCCGCATCTGAGCACCATATGAATTTTTCGAATCCCAAAGCGGCCACCTGCCACATCCTGAGATGGGATTCGGTATCGCGCCGCACGAGTCTCAAGTTCAACCCTGATATAAGCGATCTTCATCGGAATCGACACGAGCGGCATCTTTCCTTCGCGAGGATCGAGGGCTGACTTTCTCTAGTGTGCATTCGAGCCGCGCCAGCAGCGCCACACCGCAGCAGCTGTTACCCTCTCAGTGGGAGACCACCTCCTCCTCCTCGGCAAATGGCGGTGAATGCGAAAATCTGCAGCCCCCTCAAGCGGCGTCGCGTGTGCCTCCTCCGTGGATGCGATTCGTGACTCGTGACATTGCGACGCGCATGATGTCTCAATACGCGCATGCTGTGGAAGCGAAGATCCCTCGAGAAGCTCGCAAAGAGTTCCCTGATTCCCCGATGTGAGGACGAGTACCAGTGCTCTTGCCGCTGACTGAGAATCGAACTAATTTCTAGGCGATCAAAATGGGAGAGGGCCAGCATGAGAGAGTGAAGTGGAGACGGTCCGATAAGCAGATGACTTCCAGGCACCTTACCCCAGATCCTGGATAAGTTAACTGAGCCCGCTACCGGAGGGAATTATTGGAGAGCTCAAGACAGCAAAGTTCGAATTCCTGGTTGAGATCTGGATCAGTATCTCTCTCGGCTCACGTATCCTGACAAATCGAGCGTCGTACATTTGCGGACAGCTTGAGTTCTTCGCCGTCGATCTATGCTCTCGATGTACGAGAGGTCAGATATCCTTGAAGGATAATTCAAACGAGGCTGAAAGTGCTGCAGAGTAATATTTGCAATGCATCTAGTCCGTCCTATATTGAAGGTCAGTCAGCGGACGCTCTCCGCTAGACGTAGAGGGTATGTTTCGGGGAGTCGAGACTGAGCGGGCGATTTCGAATCTGTATGCTGTTGTCTCATCGAGCTCGTAGAAGGGCCCGAGAACGATAGGATCTTTTGTTTGCGCGCGGCTTGCGATCCTATCTGCGGTAGAACCTCGTTATATCAGACTTGGAGGGACCGGCCAAAACGGTCCATTATATGCGGAGTACGTTTTATACGGATTCGGGCTAGAGGCAAATAGGGGTTGGACACGAATCCCTCCGGGTACACCGCTGCAGCCTCTCTAATGACTCGTCCAAAGGCGAGGAACCTCGCAAATCGTCCTGTCCTATAGGCATAGGCTATCGCTTCCGCGATAATGGGTACCAAATGTGTAACTTATAACTTATTACCGACTTGATTCACATGGAAAGAGATTGGTCCGGGGCCTGCAAATCAGCCTGTTGTATCCTAGAGTTATTGGTTCCGCGATGAACGGGTCACGGTGAGCCGATCACCTGACATTGAAGATCCCATCGGCTTGTCCGGGAACGAGCGATCGGTCCGTTGATGGCGAGTGCCCGTTATATCCGGGTTCTCCATCGCGAGGTTTTACTGTAATTGCTCTTAAGAAGCCCACTTGAGGTAGCTGAATACCTGCGACGCGACGGATGGCGGAGCTGGTGTGAGCGGCGGCATTCGGCATTCAAAATCTCCGAGACTGTCCCCATAGACCCCAGGTGTACTGTGGGCCTGGGAGAACTGGAGGCACCGTGCGTAGAGCTTGCAAGGCACCTCAAGACGCTCCCCAGAAGTCTCAACTTTTCAACTGCATCTTCATCGCACGCCTCATACTGCGCCGGTAGAAGTATGGAGTCTGGAATGTCGCAGTCGATCGAAACCAGGGTCTCCTCAATTTACACAATATTACTGCCTCCAATGAGGAGGGCTGGGAAAAATCATAATCAAACCTATGATTATGAATAAAATCATAGTCAAAATCACAGATGTCTGAAAATCATGAGTATGATTATGATTAGAGTCATAATCATGATCACAGCAATCCTGTGATTTTGCCGTAATCATACCCGTATTCATAGAATTCAAGACACGGGTTTTGAGGATGATAGGTATGTATCTGGGGGTTTCGGGATACTGGATCTCGATTCTTGCATTGGTTCGCCCTGATCCCCCTCCCTCTCCTCCTGCGGCTCAGGCCAAGGCTCTCCTCGTCGATGTCGCCGTGTCGCGATCACTCGCTTGGATGTTGACCTTCCGCTCGCTCAGCGCGAGGCCCGGGAAACTTTTTCGTCCGCGCGGAATCCTGCGATGCTGGAAATGTGACTTCGGGTATGGTCGAGCCTGTGATTATGATTATGAATTATGATTTCAATCTCAATCATCATTATGTTTAATAATTGAATAATCCTGTACCCTGTGGTGCTAGAAACTGTGATTACGGGTATGATTACGCCTGTGATAATGATTATGGTTATGATTATAATCATAATCATAGTCACAAAAATTCGATCTGTGATTATGATCATAGTCATAGACTTGATTATGATTTCCCCAACCCAATATCGGAGGAGATTCCTCATCGGTACACGCATATCGTTCTGCTTATAAATGTGAATATCCTGATGATTGGGCACTTTCTCACGGACGGGCAGTATGCGGTAGACGGGCTTCAGAAGTGATGGCCAATCGGACAACCCTCTCTTCGTGAAATCCAACCCCCCCTAATCCTTCCCCCGCATGGGAGCGCCATATCTGTCTGCCCGTCAGTTTGCACCTTATCCACAGGCAGTGGCGTAGCGAGCCGGAGTGCCGCTCGGGGCGGTGATTCGAAATTTCCCGTTTTTCACCGTGCTCGACGAAAATGCCGTTTTTTTAGATGCAAAACCCCGAAATGCCGCCCCTAAATGCTCCGTAGGAAGTGCCGCCCGGGGCGGTCCGCACCCCCCGCCCCCACCTTACTACGCTACTGTCCACAGGTCCACTCCATAATCTCCCTCTGAGCATGCGCGCAATCAATGCGGTACCAAATCGTCCTTTGCCTTTGTGAGTTTTCCATGCATTCTTGCGGGCCGTTTTTCATATAGACCTGAAGAACTCCAAGTTTTTCCCGGTATGCGTCGCGGCTGTGTCATGACGTCGTCGCAGATTCAGGACTGCGAAAACTTCGGATGATCGGGATGATGATGTTATATGTTCTAGGAATACTTTTACTGAGGCAGTTGGACAAGAAATCCGATGGAAATCGAATCCGGTGCTTCGAAACTGCGCGTTCCTCGGGCCCCGGGACTACATAGTCTCAAGGCAGGTTGACGAAAACTCCGATGGATCTCGGAGGATGTCTTCAGGATGCTCCGGATGGGGTGGATACGTCCGGCTGCCATATTTTGAAAATCGCGATTTATCAGAGTAATGGAACTTGTGTGAGTCACCGAGCGTCCTAGGGTAAATCATATTCAGCCCGACTGGTGGGACTCCCGATCGAGCGGGGAAATCTTTTTCGAAGTAGGAAACATTTTCTGTGAAAGATTCCCACGTGGACGGGAGGAAGCATGCCCGTCAATTTTTAGTCGACTAGAACGGGTAAACTTTACTCATATGTATATCATAATTTTACATGAATCATCTGACAGTGAACTCTCCATCGCCCTTTGTCTGGAGGGAGATTTTTCTATGGTCCGGTGCGGATGCTTCTCCTTGCTAGACGGGAGGCTTTCGTCAGTCGAACCATGAGCCTGTATCGAACCTATTCCAGCGTCCCGATCTTCCGAATTCCAGGGCTGGGACTTGAGCGATTCGATTTTTTACGGGCTGAACTCCTTCAATCAGAGGATTGTCGAAGGTCAATATCATAGCCTGGAGGCACTGCTCTCGGGAATCACTTCTTCCAGGGAAGAAAAGTCGCATTGAAGCGACCACCTGTGTATCAAAATCTGGGACGCCAGGGAAAGAGACGAAGCAAATGTCATAGAGATAAATTATCTGCGTATATATTATTTATAGATACAATTGTTCAAGGAACAGACGAGGTTCAATCAGTATATCACCACGGAAAAAGTTGTGAATACGCCATCTCCCCAGCGACTCTCATCAAGGGAGCACTCAAAACATTTTCGAGCTATCACGTTGCCGGTAGCACGCAGAAGATTTTCATTTCCATGTGCCCCATGCGATCAAAGAATCGATGAGCTGTTTTTTTCAAGCACATGTTTGGCATAACAGTTCATCGCCGAGCAGCGGTTGCCCCGCTAGTCAGAGCAAGCACCGCGAAAATTCATTCCTTGCAGGCGGAAATGTTTCCCGCTCATATCTCCGCGAAATCCCTCCGCTACGAGTGTAGCCAGCGCCGCTCCCAACCGCTGAGATGATTCACATGTGTCGCGTGTTTCCGAAATTCATGCCGGACTGCGAGGCTCCTTTGTTCGAGCCATATTGAAGTCCGATGACGTTCTGGCCGGCCTTGAGCACTTCTTCAGAGAAGTTCCTCCGGTTTCCTTCCGACTCCTTGGGACCGATTCCCTCGATGCCGTACTTCGAAGCCTTGCAATTGAAGAGACTACGGATGAGCATTTCACAGACGGGATAGTCTGTAGCATAATTTCCAGATTGAGTTCAATTTATTCAGCACAGCGGAGATTCACGTACCTTCCTGGCCACGGCTTGCAAGCAGATGACGACGGCTAGAATGTTCTGTTTCTCCCAAAGATCCACGGTCTGGAACGTTTCTTCTGCGAGCACACCCATATCTTTAGCTTCTTGGAGGAAGAATCCGATATTTTCCATACATTTGAAAGCCATTTTCGAGCTGCTGATCTTCTTTTCGGGGATGGCTCCTGGTTTGATAACATTCATCAACCTGAAAAAGATAGGTTCCGAAGATTCCTCAGAATGGGAACTTTATCCCTCGTTGGTAAGCAGGTCGAGACGAGAACAGAATACTCACTTGCACAAGACCACCCCATCCTTCAGGACCTCGTGGACGTTGTCGATCTCACCACTAGCCGAGAAATCGCCCCCAGTCGTCCGGCGGACCCACTCCATGACCTCCGACGCAAGTTGGTTGTCGTATTTCGATAGGAGCTGTAAGATATTTATTACACTGAGCAGGAAAGGTGCGAGCTATTCCACTATGATACCTGCGCGCCTATCATGAGCTGTCCGACTGTTCTTGACGTCTCGCGACTAGAGCCGTGACCGCCAGACTGTAGGTTTCTGCAAGGCTTAGGTTGGTCCTGATCAAGAGCTTGATACGAGGCTGAATAGCTCCCTATCGGCTCTTGGGGCACCATTTGAACTTTCTTCATATCACCGACTGAACCGATCACTGTGACAATTCTAGTGTGGGTTCTAGGGAGCTGTGGGTGGTCATAGCGGGGTCGACGTTCTCGATCGATGGGTCCCTCTACCCCGGGGAATTATTTTTGTGCTTCACCCAGTTGAAATCTGACATGGATGACTGGAGAAAGCGGGACCTTCCTCGAGGTCCGGACCGATGTTTATGGAAATTCGGGGGTTGATTCCCGGGAGCTCTCATAGAGGCCTTGCCGTCATCATTCGATGGTTTCTTCCGCCCAGGTTACTCGCTGAACATTCTTGTAGCCGGAGTAGAGTCTAGACTTCCTCTAGTCTAGAGTAGAGTCTAGAGTGCATAATGAAAACGACGAACTCGATTGCAGGAAAATGGGAAATCAGAGAAGCGGTAAACGGTAACGGGGCACTGGAATAGATTCGAGATTCCCAGGTCGAATTCGGAGTGAAAAAGGGATATCGGGGAGGCGGGAAGACGAGCAGCACGAGCAAGGGGGGTTGATTATCACGAGAGATGGTTCAATGTCGCAAAATTCACTGACAGCGACGCAACTCATAGCGAGTGCTTTCGGAGCAAGTGCATGTGTAAAGAGTGTGGCGCTTGGATACGCGTTATCGCGATGACTGTCTTCACAATCCGGAGAATCGGGTCGCTCCGTCAACGAGCAGTCTAAGATTCCACCGACTCCCGATTGTCAGCACGAATTTCATTCTCTATTCAATCAATCAGACGTCACCCACTCGCTGAGCGAATATCCGGGGAGTCCACGAAGGCTCCGCGAACGATCAGCATCGTTGAGGGAAGCCGATTGGCGAGCTATTTTCGCAGATTCTGGAAATGCGCCTTGTTTGTATTTTCACATTCATGTACAGTTGGTGAGAGAGGGGCGCTCTCGGTACGAAAATCCTGTTCTGTCGCGACGCAAACACTTCGTGACGCCAATCCTTGAGCTGTCAGTCAGAGTGTGCTCAGCCGCTCTGCAACGAGACGCTCCCTCCCTACGTACAAAAAGCAACGGCCAGGATATACGCAGCGCCGTTGAATAAATCACTCCCACTGGTTCACAGACACCCACCGGCAGAAGGGTCGCTCACCCAACAGAAAAATGAGTCACGCGTATCCATAGGATTCCAGTTGGCTTAGGGACTCGATTTTATCGTCCCAGAAACCCTTAAAAAGCAACCCGTGAAGGGTCGGTCAGTGATACACGATTATGAAAAAAGGTCAATCTATCGGGCATTCTAGAGAGACGGGGCGCGCCTGGAATAATACTTCGAAAATGATACGTCCCCAGGGAGCTACAGTCTCCCAAGGGGGTCCCCGAGGGAACCATTGCCGATCATCGGGGTGGTTTCCAATCAAGATTCGGTTGATACGATAATGATGGAGGAGAGGAATCGCAACTACGGCTCAGCGCGGTGACCGGGGGGACTAGCGGCCACACGGGATGGCTCGTGCCGACGAGGGAGGTCGTGGTGTCAAATCCGTACCATTTCGAGGAGTTTCTTTCTCTTCGCCGCGATCAGATCCAACTCTCCGGGAAGGAATTCGCATTTCGTACCTAGGTAACTGAAATCCTGGCCACGGGTGTGACAGTTTTCCGAAATCGAGGAGCGTGATAGTTTTCCGTGGAAGACGATTCACCTGCCTTGATTGTCAACCAGTCCGAGAACCCGGAGATAAAAGACCGTAAAACTGCTTTCCCGCCAGAATCGCACCAAGCTTTGCGTACGCATCAAGGAAGAAGAATTCCCTTGCTTAAGCTGAAGAGTTCTAGCTCGATGGATATCGATCCCTCGACGGAATTCTGCATTAATCAGTCTTCTCGCGGGAATCTCGATCGAGGGCTTCCGCAGCTGTAGTACTAGCTCGACTTGAACTTTGGATTTTCACTCGAGTGCTTTGTCGAAAGAGGACAAAGGGCTATATTTCCTGCGGCAATCGAGATTCTCCTTGGCTCTCCCATTCAGTCGCTCGAAGTACTGATTTCCAGCGACAGAAGCTTTCCATTCACTGTCCCGTGGGACAGGTGAGACTCTTTCGCTCGCACTGAGAGATGCGTCAAGTCTCACGGCGCGGCGGAATTTTCTGTCCGCGCAGGGAGCGGCCGAAGAAGCCCGCAGTTCTTCAACGACTAAGGACAGGCTCTTGGATACTCCGCTTCGCGCATACGGATCGGGATCGAACGGTTCCCGTCCGCTCCGCACTGACTCGCATCGAGCTTGATTTTGGGCCGGAAAGAATATCTTCATGAATTCCTCGCTAGCCTGTGTTCACAGCCTTAGTTTAGAATAGCCTCTCACAGCAGAAATATTTTCAAATCTGCTCGAAGAGCTCCTTCTCTACAGTTACTTGGGAAGGATCATCCGCTAGACTCAGCAGAGGACTCCCTATCGTCAAGCCTTGAGACATCAATTGTTCGCAGAAGCTGTCTCATGCTGCCGTGCGCGGGAATCTATTATGGGACTCTCGGCAAAACCTTGCGTTCTGTAGGCGAGCGAAGAATACTGGTGATACTACGCCACTGTTCGGAGAGAAGTTCCTGAAGCTCGATCGGCGCCGGGAAAATAGATGTGTCCAAGAGATAAATCACACCAGGAAAAGTGAACGCCCGCGACCAAACTATTGTAATACGGCAAAATGGATACGGCACGAGCGTACCGATTCGCGTAACCTTTGACATTCTTGAATCGAATGGAGTAGGCATCGAAGCATTAGTTCAACCAAACGACAGGATCTCCTCGCCCGTTGCTCGACACGGTGATCGATGTATCTGCTACAAATGATCCCAACGATCTGATCTGCCGCATGCGAACGCGAAGTCCTACTGCAAACGTGGGCTTTTGGCTGATTGAGAGTCGAGTCATCCCATCCGATTCAGCGCCCCGCAATGTGTCAAACAGCGTAAGAATGTAATACATACATATTTAGTCATTCCTGGATCAGCAATCGCTGCCAGCGGCGACTCAGCAAGATCGAATCGGACTCAACAACGGAATACGAGGGTGATCCGGACCGCTGACTCTGGTTCTTGCTGATAACGAATTAGGTTTCTCTATTTCCAGATAAGCAAAAACCTAGAATCAAGCTCGGTGATCCTATAATACGTAGAAAAGGCTTAAGCCAAATAAGGCGTCAACATTAACGACCTTGACCGCATCCGCTGGGGACTTACTAACGAACGGGGCGACCGACCGCACGAGCGACAAACAGACGCACTGACTGACTAACTCGCTGGCTGCTGGTTCGCTTGCTACATCGGAGCGATATGTCATTCGCGCCAACAATGAGCACCTCGATCGATCCAGCTATCCCGAATGACATCGACTGTTTTCCGAACGCGAATTGCTCAAATGTTCCCGGAACATCTGTCTCGTGTCATCTGGAAGTCGGATCTCCGATCTGATAATTGATTCATTCACCAAGAACTGAGTGAGCTTCTCATGATACCATTGCGCTGAAGGATCGTATTGCCGCTGCGACATATTTCTCGACCGGAGCTGGCCCCGATCGTTTCAGAAGAAACATCATGAGGTCGGGGCTCGCGGCGGATGTTGGATAAGGGACCCGTTTAAGCTGACTGAAGAGCATGATAATAACGCTCATCCAGCAGATATTAATTTCTCGGTCAAGACCCTCAAACCAATTAAAGCGATCCTGACGAATGGTGTCTTCGGTTTCCGAACCTGATACCGTCGGCGTCGTGAAGCTCTTCAGAGCTTGTTCCTATCGGGAGAAGTGTCGGTAATCTGAGCAAGTATATTATATTCCGTACAAAGGATGAGCCAACGATCCCCAAGACCGTTCTACCACCAATAGGTGTCATGATGAGGTCAACTTGAATCGTCAGACTGCAGTCCCACAATAGTTGAATCTGGATGAACTCATCCTGAGAGCAACCTCTGGAATCGATAGATTACAAATATTCCTGAAAGGATGAATACGTTGAGCACTCTCGTACGCAACGCGAGGTATGAGTCACTTTGCTCGCCGACATCTAATGATCCCTCGGTGGGACATCGTCCGCTGTCCCTTCATGACGGCCTTTCATTCTGAACCCTCCCTGGTCGAAGTTTCAATGACAGTTTGATTCTACGCTGATCGAGCCGGTAAAGTACTCGAAAGTCCGCTAGTCCAACGGGCTAGACCTGGAACCCCGGTGCCTCGGGCAATCCACTGGAAACTGAAACAATGTTCGGTCGGCCAACGCGCACGCCTGCTGTTCGTGATGATGATGCTGACTGACTCCAGAATGTTACCGCTAGCCGAAGTCGGCGATTTCGACGTTCTATGCCGCTGAACATTCGACCGGGGGCCAAGCTGGCTCGCTGGAGACCAACGGATCAACGGACCAATGACGGCCGCTCGTTGTAAGCTCGTTGGCAGCGAATGCTGTTAATTCCCGCTCGCTCACAGCCTGCACTGAGGAGGTACAGAGGCAATTACAAAAAGAAAGTAAAACAAGCGAGCCTTCTAGATGCCTCAGCGAAGCTTCAGTCCACAGAGCTCCAACGAGGGGATGGTTATCGATACGGACGCTCTTTTGTACCGCAGAAGCTGGTTGCGGGTAGAACGACTTCGACTGCAAGGGATCCGCACCGCTTCCAAACATTCCCTTAGGCGAGCTTCCGTTCGGTATCTGGACAGCTTCCTTTCGTACAGTGTTTCCGGGCAACATTGCTCCTATGACGCTCCATGAAATTCAGAATTCATCGTCCCGACGTTCTTTGGTGACGATAGAGACTTTCTAGTGTGAGATCATCTGAATTTTCCCAAGGCCTCATCTACTCGTCATGGAAGAAGTGGCGTGTGATACACGAATGCTACCCATGGATCTATCTTGAAGCTAAACGTCACCTGACATTGTTCCACAGCTTTTCATTTCACTGGGAGGAGTGCTGGTTCGGTCGCTTAAGAGCCATCATGAGGAAGTCGCCTCGACTTGGTTTCGAAACATGCGCTAACCCCAAGCCGAATGTTACCTCGAGCCAAAGTGTAATCTTATCGCGGTTGGAAAGTCAGGAAAAGGACGCGGCTTGAATTCTTCTTCGTCTCCCTAACTAGGTGTCGCCTTGCACCCCACACTTTTTTCGCTCGTCTCCCGCGAATCTCCGAATTTTCGTTATTCAAAGAAGAAAGAAGAAAGGACCGGGTATCACAGAAGTCTTCCCCTATAGATGCTTCTTCAATCCCTTCAAACGTTTATCTGCGTTGATCACGCCCGCCCCACGAGAATATGAAGTTGCTGTCTCTTCCTTTATCTGATTTCGCTTCGAAATCGTCGGTTACCGCGAAAGAGAGCTGCTGTGTCTGACTAACAATAAGTAAGACCAGATTTATATTAAAGAACGGCCTCGAGTGTCTTCAAGCGGTGGACCGAAAATCGAGTCAGTAGAAAATAAGGAAGAGTATCGCACGCAGGAATCAAGACCGAGCTCCCGGAAAGACCCCGGAATATGGTAAGAAGTCTTCACGGTTTGATGTTAATTTTCGGGGATTTTTCTCGGTATAACTACGATTTTCCATGGACGACTCTAATCATCCCATCCCGGAGGCGCTACCGGAAATCCTATCAACCGGAATTTCTTGCCGTTGAGAATTCACGCTTCACTGAGTCCTCAACCCAGAACTCGATTTCCGCTCTTCGAGCTTGCGCTTCCTCGTCTAAAGTTCACGATCCTCAAGTAAACTGGCCGGTGAGTTTAGATTCTGACTTCGTCGAGTCGGCAGGAAGGGCTCAGCAAAATAACTTAGTCCAAACAGCGAATGAAAACTCGACTATGTTTTGATACGGCTATTTCGCAGCGGAGGAATAATTTCTATCCTGTCTGACGTGTTCCTCAGTTAGCGGTCCCGAATTCCAGGCGGTCAGAGCCGTCCATCGTGTGTGGTCGAATTCATCCGATCGGATGCATGACCGATCGACCGCTTTTACGGAAGGGATCAAAGACATCGGCTATCAAATCGACAATGGCTTTGGAATTTCGCCGTTTCCTCGCGAGCGGAAGGTGAGATGCACATCCGAGCGGCGACACTTCATCGCTTGCCGGAAGCCGGAGCAGCTCTCATATAGGGAAACTTCAAAATACCTATCGATGCATCGGCAGGGTAACATGTTTACGCGCAAGGTGGGGGAATTCCGGAAAGCCGACAGTCAAGCCGAGGGTCACGTCAAGATGGATGGCATATTTAGCTTCGAATAAAAAATCACGGATTCCGGCGGTGTTTTGAAAAATCGAGTCCAGAATTCGCCTTGTAGACTCTTCACGAAGATCGCTCGAAAAATCGGGTGGGCAAACACAGACGGATGTTAAATCAAATGATTGATCAGAAGGCATCTTTCTCCGCTCCCAGGGGGCGGCCGATCTCTTGTGCCAGGGTTTTCACCGTTGCTGTCAAAGTAGAACCAATTGGAATTATCAGATTCCAATCAGCCCTCGTCACGTTTTCGAATCAATCGAAAAATCTCAAAAGATTGCATCATTGAACCAATTTGAACGCGTGGCTGCCTCCGGAACGAAACAGAACATTAGCATAACATTTTGGACGGCGTAAGGACGAGATTTTCTGTAGCTGATTTCATCGCCCGCGGATTTTCCGCTCGAAGCGTCTCTGAGAATTTTACGGTACCTTAGTACCTGCGAGCGCCGCCAGCTCCTCGGAAACTCCGAGCGAAAGTTTTCGTCTCCCGTCATAGGGACGACCGAAAGAGGATCCCTCCGCAACTGAACGACGTCGAGCCGTAGTTGCATTGCTCCGCGCTCTGCGTAAATCGCCGCTCGAGAGCCGTGGTCTTGGTCATCTTGACTCTCTTCGATCTGCTCCTCCAATATCGTGGATGACTGATCGTAGATTCAGATCACAGACGACCTTGCGCTGCGGGATTAGACCGCGCTTGAATAGTCATTCTTCAATGGAGCCGATGACCAGAAAGTCAAACCGAGACGGAATTCTTCATTCGACGAGACGACAGCACGCAGCACATTGCACTGAACCATCGGAGGCCCAGAGGATATATACTAGGTAATCCGTCATTATATCCCGATATTCGGCGTCCATCAAATAATTTGACAGAGAAAGCATATTCGGAGCTCCTGCGACACACATGAGTCCTCTTCAAACTATTGGCTACACGGTGCGCTGACGTTGCCTGCCTTTCAAGAACGAAGGATCAGCTGATGGGAGGAAATATCGGACAAGGGTCCTCGGACACCCTGATTCTTCTTCAGTGCGAACTAGCCTCTGCGGCTGGCCTTCTGGGGCGTCCCGATCGATTTTCGAGCCGGCAAGTCATTAGCTAGTCGACGCTTAAGACGGGTTTGACCGATAATATTGTTCTAGGTTATACCACTCTCGATTGATAGAGGTCCTGGAGATCGGGACGATCTCGCTCGGCAGCCTGGAATCCCCGGCCATCCATAGATCGCGTTCCCCTCGAGCAGCCTCTAGTCCAGTGATCCTCAACGAGGACTGAGTGGCCCGAAGAGTCATTCTTGACATCAGGAATCTCGAGAGTTCAAGCAGGTAGAGCCCAGCGAACAGTGTTCCGTACGAGAGATACGGGAGGGCTCAGTCACGGCACCGTACTCGTGAAGTGAGAATTTCATGTAGTCAATAGAAGATACGATCAACCGGATTCCGACATGTTGGGCAAGCATGTGACAACAAGCGACAAAAAATCACGGGGCTGACGTCTGTCCAAGATCAAGCCTTCCACCACGAGTCGTCGATCGCGATCCCGTAGAGGTTCCATTTTTACCATCCTTGAGCGAGATTGACGTGAGTCATTGGGTCAAGTTTGCATGACGTCTTGGACCGACTCCCACGAACATAGACACAAGCGGCGCATGATTCGGAAATCCTTTCGCGAACAAAGCGATCTATCTTAAGCCCATTCGAAATCGGAAAAAAGTGAATCATCGATCCAAAGTCCATGGAACTCAGACGCTTTCGGTGTGATTGTGCATGAAGGAGTATCGAAGCAGCATCATCATCATGTATCCAGAACAGCTCCCCGAATAATAGGTTGGCGATAAGGAATTTCGAATTGAGCATTGGGAAGCAATGGCGTCGAGTCGAAGTGCCGGGTAAGCGCTTTTCCACTGCGGAGCAACCATTTTCCCAAGAAAAAAAGGGAAACTCGTATCGGGTTCTAGAACCCCACCGGAGAAGACGAGAAATAGGTTCCAGCTCGTGAGCCGTGACGCGCGAAAAGATCAAAAAGAAGTCCACCTGCGCGAATGGTGGAAATAATCGAATTCTCCCCGTGGTCCGCGCGGAAGACTGTTGATTCTGTCAATATCGAATCGGTGCCCGCTCGCTTCAGTGAAAAGCAAGGAGTACTGTGTTCCCCGAAAGAGGGTTGTGAATACAGAACCAATCGTTTCTCGGGCGTTTCCGTCAACGGCCTTGAGTGCCTTCCCGTTCGCGGATCGCGAGCTTCTTCAGGTCGAGCCAACGGCCGTCGGTTCTCAACGTACAAAAGTGGTTCCGCAGGGAAGCGCAGTCTAACGTCTGAATCCTTGCAATTCCGCGCGTACGTTTCCGTTCCGGTAGTCCGACACAACGATCGAATGCAGCAGCAGAGTATGCACAAAATCTCTCCAGAACTGACTCCGCCGCGGCCGTCCGACACGAGCGAGAACGCATACCAGTGTCGCCTCTGAGCGACAGTTCCGCGGAATCCCTGCAGACTCCACGTCAAACAGATGGTAGAGTGTATAATCGTCGTTGGGTGAAGATCAGCAGCTCGGGGGCTCAGATCTCACTCGGGGAGGGGGGGGGCATCTCGCCACAGAAGAAAAAGTTCTCCGAAGTTCGGGAACTTTTCTTAGCGCGAAGGAAGCACCCGCCCGCGCGCATCGTGCGAGCTCTCGAGATGACGGATGGAAGGACTGATTCTGACAGCACTCACCTTTTTCTGAGCCTCTGCGGCCAAACCGCTTTTCGGTGCTCGGTTTTCGGCCATTTCGCACGGTTTGATTTGGGCTCGACACGTAGTTTTTCACGGACGTAGATGCAATACTTCACGTCGTTCCGCAGATGGGTGTGGAAGCTCGTCTCACGATGACGATCCGACTGCGAATGACAATCCACCGTTTATACACCGGCGAAGGCAGCAGCGCGCCGTCGGCGAGCTGACGTCACGTTCACCTAAGATCACGTGGTGCCAGCATGAGGGCCCGATTGGACGGGCCCTTCACTCCGCAATGGGGCAATAGATGGCGCCAGGGTCGACAACTACCACCGGCAGTCGATACGCCGGCGGGCGGGCGGTAAAGCAGTCCGACGGACGGAGACACGGACGCGCAGAGGGTCTGCCGCTCGGTATCGGTCCTCATACGGATAGATCCAGACAAGCAGGTAGAAACACATGTCTAGTAAGATATCGGCCGGGAGAGTGGCGCCCTTGACATTCCGCATACCTTGTAAGGGGTGGCCCACCGTGGCAGCCGGCGAGACCCGTTGAAGGAATTTTTGATTTTGAGTTTGAGTGAGAGGGCAATGTAAAGCTGATAGAGCTGATGCGACATCGGATGGATCGGACTTCGCGATGAGACGATCTGAATCACCGCTAACCGCGGCGACACACGCACCAGCGTGACAAGGAGAGGCGGTCCAACCTACACAGCGATGCACGCCTCTACGAATTACGGGCTACGAGGATGATCCGGAAGTCACTCGACTAATCAGCTTGCTCCATGTGCTTCGAAAGAGCTATAAGAGCCCGCAAAATGATTCTAGGTGGGTCGGAGTAGATATGCGGGATAACGTCGAGTCCGGAACAGAAATCAGGACGAAAAGCGGACACTGTACTCCAGGTTATGACCTATCCATGAACTTAATTAAACTCTCCAATTTTTTCTTTTCGATGAGCAGCACTTGGTAGACCTCTGATATCCATATACGACCGTACCGGCACGATTCACCAAAGAGAACTTTCGATCCAACCCTGAGCTCAAGCTCGCACCGTGGAGACCTCGGTGCCGAGAACGAAAAAAATTCAACTCCCACTCGGAGTAAGTGCGACCCGCTCGGATAGTCCGAGAGGCGGACATTTCGTGGATATCTCCAAGAAACGGATGGAGATGACGAGTCATCGCAACCCTAATTATTGCTGATTATATGATACCTCCCTCCCTCAAAGGTGCTCGGTTCGCCCAAGCAGGATCGTGTCCTGCGTCGATAGCGTCTCGCCAAAATTTCCGGGATATTCATACCGGGAATTAAAAATTAAAAAAATTACGGGCTCGAGGATCGATCAGATACCGATCTACGGGCTCTGGGACAACGGACCGATTAAATCTGGAGCCATGGAAAGGGATCTGCTCGGAGCTCGAAAACGGCCGAAGGGAGCACCTGTCTCCTCGAGTAAACTCTGAGCCCTCAGAAGCGTTTATGGTTCCCGGATCAGACCGGGGAAGCGCGTCACGAAGGAACAGTGGCCCAAGATTCCGCTCGACGTTTGGATCACAGCGGTACACAGGAACTTGAGAAGTCGTGTTCCCCGGATTCTGACTCGAGGCCGCTATTCGAAACACGATCAACAGTCGAGATCGACGAGGCTGGATCGCAACGAGAGTCGTAAAATCGCCGTTTATTTAGAGCAGCGCTCAATGGCCTGTTTCTCTTCCTTCGAGTCCACGAGACGAAAAAGCTTGAGGGAGCCGACCCTCAGTCACTCGACAGAGAATCGAAAGGTTCCGCTCTCCGGCGGCATTCCCATGCACGCTGACTCGTTGTGAATTCATCCTACGCTCTTTGGGAATTTCGAGTATTGTCTCAGCTGCCGATCCCTCACGGGGATTCCGAGGAACAGCGTGACATTGCAGTTAGGCGATTAGATGCGATCGTTGCAAATCTCCCCATATTCTTATATACAGCATTTATTGACTCCATTTCTCATACTTCATACATCACGTAACCCGGGTCAGGTGCTTCCTCTCGAGCTCACTCGAAGCATTGTTACGCCTGAACCTCCGGTACCTTCTTCTCCTGAGCTTTCTGTTGTTTGAGGCGCATCTGCTCGGCATCACGTTGCCGTCGTTCTTCGAGCGTCATGCCTGCAAGGAATTGGAACACTTTATATCTCCATACTCATACTTTTGAGGGTGGACGAGTGTCGAAGCGTATGAATGTGTTCCTGGATCACAGAAAAAACGCATGTCCAGCACGTAATTCTCCTGGGACGTTGAGGGCGATCCTGGGGTCAGCTGGGAGCTAAGTCAGCCTCTCCCACCTCATGATTCTACATAATGGAATAATCACTCCGAGAGCGATCGGAGTTTCTTGGGGTCCGGAACTCGAAACCATTCACCAAAATTTTCCGCTATGGATGAGTTTCGACTGTGCTTTTTCAGATTCTCCTGCCTGAGGGAAAAGAGAGCAGCAAAAAGCGACTGCCTGCCGCTTGAGAAACTTCCGAGTTCCGGGACAATCACCACACCTCAACCCCAGCGTTCGATCAATAGGGAATCTAATGGCAACATACACAGAAATCGTATCCGCCCTCAGTCTTCCTAGGATAAATCTCTAGAAGGCGAGCTGTTCCGCATTCAGTTTCGCGAGAGGGAAATCGAGATATGGAGATCTTCCTCCGATTTCTGCGCTCCCCTAGGAGTCTCATAGGCGAGAGAAGTCTGGAGGCAGAAAATCTGCTTTCGTCAGGAAGATAGAGATCGTCATCTGTTGTCTATGACCTCTCGATAGCCAACGCAAGCAGCCACGTCCCCATACATGTTGGAAGAAGCCTTCCGATTTCTCCACGATCGACATCCCTCTCTTCATCAGCCGCGGAGGAGCAAGCTCACCTTTATTTGGGCCCTTGGCCGCAGCCCCTTTTTTCTTCGCTTGTTCCTGCTGTTTCTTGAGGTTTTTCTCGCGGGCAAGATCCCTCTGATTGCCTCGAGCCATGTTTCACACCCGGAATAATCGGAAGATGACTTGGAAGGTCTCAGGATACGACTCTTGCTGGAGAGAAGGGCCGTAGGGAGAAGCGTACTCCGGCCAACGAGCAGCTGTTCAAGATGGAGAATATAAGATAACTTGAGACTTGCTCTGTTCATGGAATACAGGCAGGATTCGTATTCTCGGATAACTTCCGTGCTATTTCTCGGGAGCAGGCATATTCGAAGAAGTGATCCTTCGATTTCGATAGACATGCCATAAGAAGTTTCGTTTCATATTTCTTCCAGAGAAATCAAGAGCCTTGTTCGAAGTCATTGCGGAACTGACACGCGATCGGCATCCTTACCTTTTTCGAACACCTACACCAGTCGAAGAGTTGCTCGATAGCCTGTCGAATGAGCAGCTCCGCGAGCTCTTCTTGTGAACTCTGTGAAGCCTTTCTTTGCTGGCGACGATTTTTAACGCGTTTGCGAAAGCTATGTCTCAGCAGCAGCAGCTTCGCCGCCACCGACGAACAATCCACCAAAGATGGCGATGATGATGACCCGCGGAATAACAACACTCAAGCAAGTCGAGCCTTTCCACAGCTCTAATCGACAGAAGGGGAGGAAGCGCGGGCTTTCGCATGAATGCGGAGAATGCCAGAAACGCTCTAAACGCTCTGCACCTCGTCTATCGCGGTTCCGGAGTTCCGCAGCTAATTCATTGCGGCCGCGAAGCATCCAAGGGCAAGAACTAGCCGGATCTCCCACCGGAGATCTTCTCGCCGAGCGAGTGCTCCGCCTAATGTATCATATGCATATTATATGCGTCGAATTTTCGCATGGTCCACGCTACGGGAGAGCATGTCCTTCCGACGTTGAAACCCCTCGTCATCATATTTTCTGCTGATTTCCGGACGTATTGGGTGAGAGCAAGTGCGCCACAATGATTCGGGGGATCATTGTCGCCATAAGGGGATAACGATACTTCAATGATGATAAGATAATATTGGGAGAGCGCCTCGGATCGAGGGCGACCTATAATCTGGCGAAGCAAAAGCTAAGTGGATGTTGCCCGCTGCGTCCCTGCGAGAGAAATCTCGTTGTGCACCAGAGGGGATCGCTTCCCCACTTCCCCCCGATTTTTTCTGAATGATTCCTCTTCACGATTCGAATATGCAGCCCCGCAGGGTAGAGAGGCGTCCGAGCTGCCTCCTTGAGCTCTTCTGTTGCCCCAGCGGCGTCTGAAGTCTGGGTACAGTCAGCTGTCACCCCCGAGCCGGGGCTCCCGAGTGAGAATCAGTACTTGTTTCAGCGTCCCGGCGGCTCTTGATCGACTATTATTCATTCAGATGCCGTCCTGTCCCGAAGAATGATTTCCAGCCGTTTTCTCGTGGATCAAATTACCGGGCTCCCCAAGAAACTCATCCCGCGTTGTCGGACATCGCTCATGCAAATTGAGAATTACCCTGATCGAACACTATTGTGACTCCCGACTCCCCACATGTCAGAGCATATGCTCTCCACCAAGGTCGATTCCAAGAGCCCGGAACTGTCACGGAGTGCGTAGGCATGAGCTCTGAGGGTCTAGTCAATTTGAGCGCGCGTCGTACACAGAGCAAAATATCCCGGATAGTGCTCGGCTCTCGAGACGCTGAAGCCCTACAGCGGGACCCCAGCTACTCGTGTCGGTGGCCTCGAGGAACCTTGGGGCTGCCTTTATGCTCAGGCAGCAGCAACTATGCGACGACGACAGCAGCGGCAGCCACCGCAGCAGCGGCAGTTACCGCAGCAGGGCCTGGTTTGTAAAGAGCTGGAGCACCGGATGGATCTCCGGTTGGTCTGCCTGCTTCGCTAGCCTTCTGCCGAGCCCGTCCACAGCCGCCGCTGCTGCCTGGGTAGAAGTCTGTAATGGTAGGGAAATGCGCAGGCGCGGCTCACGTCCCTTTCCTCGAAGGCGAGGAGACACCGATGGGGACCCGAGAGCGTTGTTCTCACAATGCTACTGAAGAGCTGTCTGGCGCTGATTGTCGCCGATCACCGTGTGTGTCGTTCTTCCTGGTGCTCCCTTAAACGGATGTTGTGGTGCTGTCGGATTTTGTTTGGGAACAGAAAGTCCGAGCGCATCTAGGAACGTGCTTGGATCAGCGAGCTGTGCGAGAAGATGCCGCTTCCTCAGTTGGCCGACGGACCGTGGGCGCTCACTGAGGCGGGCCGGTTACCTCTCAGCGCTCTGACATCTCCAGATGTGAGTCATGCTTGTACAGAACGAAACACGCACCCGTAATCGCACCCCCGGCATAGGTACTCTCAGCTCTCAATGGAGCTCTCGTATTTTCCTCTACTGTAAGGGAACGGGACTTTTCTACGGCACCATTTTTCCGTGGAACTTTTTAGCACTTCTACTTCATATGTTTTTTTTCCTGCGGAAAGCCGCCATGGTCTTTGAAACATTCGATTGGCGAAAGTCTCCTGCCGCATCGCCGGCTTGACCACACATGGAACGAAAACAGCTGACTTCAGGTAGAAAAGGTAGCCGATAGCAGCATATCAGCTGTTTTGTGGCTCTCGCGGTGCGCTTGCTAGGGAAGAACCGAATATATGTACGTATATGGAGATTTGTTCTTGACGGACCAAATTTGAACCGTTATTCTCTTTTTGGGTGTATCCGGGACAATTGCGAAACGAGCGATACATGGGGAAAACTCGGGGGAGCTCTCCTTGCTGCGCGAGAGTCGAAAGTTTCCGGGGAATTCTGATCTGGGCCGCCCCTTTCGCGGATTCGAATCGGGTTTTCCATTGTCGTGCTGGGCGAGATGATCCGGAAGCGGATTGGACTTATTCAGCCCGGGAAGGGATGATCGAGCGGGGAAAAGCTCTCCAATATCAGACTCATATCGTTACGGAGCCTCCGAGGATGCTCCTAATTCATTTCGCGTTACGTATTCATAGTCTCGCCAAGCCGGCTTAGGGCACAGACACTGAAACCTCGATTGAACGACGTCAATGATGATGGGAGTCGAGCAACGTGCCCACGAAAAGCGTCATTTGTTTGTGCGTCACAGACTTCTCAATCGACGGTAGATCCCACTTGGTCGTGGGTTTTGATTTTCTGTCCGATGCCCCCTCTCATGGATTCACTTCAGCAAGCAAACCAAAAGAGCATTACGGGCTGACATTCCTAATCACCCGTCTACCTACGTTCCCCCGGATGCCGCTAGTTGTCAACAAGCGACAGCGATCAATTCCGACGTCAGGAAAGTCTGAGATTCGCCCTGGCAAATTAGCAACTGTGCCGTCGCTGTTGCCCCGACTCGAACCCGCCGAACCTCGCCCCCGCTCGCGGGGTAACGTTTGGCCCGAGACGGGTTTGCGTCATCGAATATTCCCGAGTTCATCAACTTACCCGTCACGTCATACATACAAGCGTGACTAGATCCTCGCGTCCCCAGGGAGAACCGTTTGCGCAGGGCGCATTTCCTTCGAGCATAGCTGAAAGTTGTCAGACACCCTCGATATTCCTCATGTATACCCCGATTCGGTCTGGTCAAGTTCATCACTCCGAGAGTTTCGAGTGGAAACGGCGTAAAAGCGCCCTTACGATACGGAGTGTTGATCTAGCGGTCTTTGATACGGTGTCGCTCACGCTGGGGCCGTGTTCTACGGTGCGTACCTCCAATCCGCTCAGTCGGTGGCTTCTGGCCGTACACTGCTGTAATAGCAACAACGGTGGCGGTGGCAACCGTGGTTTGCTTCTCATGACTACAAACATCCCATGCAGCCGAGCGAGCGAGCGGGCGAGCAGTCGCGGAGCTTCAGAAAGCGTAGCATCCATCGCCCCCACGAAGGAAGCCGACCAGTCGACCAGCAAAGCAGCCGGCCGGCCAGCCAGCCAGCGCGCTCCTAGAGTCAAAGACCTGACGAGACGGATCAGCAACCGCGGACCTGCCCGAGTCAAACGAATGGCAATGGAAGCGAGCGGGATCTGTTTCCTCTATCTCAAGTAGGTTTGCTCCGCCGACCATGGGAGTGGACGCAAATACTACCGTGACACGGTTATCGCGCGCGAAGAGGACACGACACATAAAGAACACCACCGCGCATCAAAAACTAGGCGGAAGGCTTGTGAATGTTTAGCGAGGGATCCTCGGGGAAGAGGTTCGGAAGGCTGTTCTGCGCTGCGCCGCATCGACCTACTTGCCGCAGAGGCTATCAGCTTCACACCCCCGACGTGCAACGGGTACCGAGCAACACCTGTTGAATCGGTGCTCGCGTGTCGTTCTGTCCGCCCATTTGCCATCCGTTCGCCCACCGAGATCTCCAGAGCTTATTTTTCTCCTCATTAACCATTGTTCGTCTTTTCCATCGGAGGTTCCGCCCCCGGGAAGAGAATGGGTCGAACCCACAATCGAGATACGCAGCCGACGGAATCGTGGTCGTATCGTAGAGTGAAGGAACCTGTGGAATCTCTGTTTTTCATCGCCGCCGAACTCGTTCACACTTCAGTCGCGTATCGTGCCGCTCCCAGTCAGTTGCTTTCTGTCACCGTTCGCAGTTCCTCTGCTGCAGCGATCCTGGAAAAACTTTCGTCTCGACAAGCGTCGATGCCCCAGAGCTCTAAATTGGATTCCACGGCTGACACATTCAATCCATTGCGTGCTCCATCAGTCGTGAGTGAGACCCGCGGCTCAAGGGAGATTAGCGAGAGATTTATCTTCAGTTGAGCAGACTCGGCTGCACGCCGGAGGTTCTGACCCTTCTCGGCTTCTTGCCGAATGCGAGACTACGAATAATTCGTCAGACGTAAGTTACGAAACTCTGAGACTTTCGAAACTCGGTGTGTTCGCTTCCCGGAATTCATCCTATTCTCTGAGAGGTCGGTCGCCGTTCAAATCCCGCATAACAAGCGGGAAAGGTCCCGTGGCTCCAACGTGGACTACGCGTCTTCACAACCGTTTCTCCATCCCTGATGCTCCTCGGAGATCGGCTCATGGGCCGGCCGGTCGGTCGGTCCGACAGTTGAGAATCGGTTTGATGTTGTTGCGATCATTGCGCGCGTAGCCACCGTTCTTTAGCTGAGCACTCGGCGTCATAGGCTTTCCATTGGGCGTGGATTGATAGCGCAAAAGGCAATTGTCAATCAGTGAGTCAAGAAATAATTTGCAAGAGTCATTGTTCCCTCCGTCTGCTACCGTTGTCATTGGCAATATTGCGGAGCGCAGCGTCTACCGCTATCGTCGGGTTGTCGCGCGAGAGAGAGCTTTGCCTTATCGAAGGAGATCCTCCGCGAAAGCCCGGGCGGATGAACCAGTCCGTAAATGGCGAGATCTCCGTACGGAGGGCCTTCACAGGAGGGGACACCATCGTTGCCAGATACTTCCCTGAATTCGATTGAGATCGTTTTGCGCGCGAGCTTCTATCAAGCGCTCCGGTACGGAAGCCTCCCACAGAGATTTGGGCCGATACTGCTGACTAGCAGTCCAGAGCGCTTCTTGCAGTTCGATGACAGTTTCCGCTGTCTCGCGGAATGGAATTTGTTTTTCCTACTTGGACCGTGCCGGTGCGGGAATTCGTTTTTCTCAATTCAATTTCCGCAGACCCACGAAAACCGATTCGCATCTCCCCGAGCTCGATGAGATCTATCCGGACAGACTCCAAAATACTGTGAGGCCCGATTGATCTCGGCTCCTCGTTGTCTGTCTGATGGGAGTTCGTGCCCGATTCAAGAACTAGAGCGATCAATTCCGCCCGAGGGTCCGGGGGAACTGAGAGCTCCGGAGCAATTCGAAGCGGCGAACAGAAA